TGAGTTTATTAACTACCGGCAGCCTCACACAGCAGCAGGATCCATATGTGTGAATGAGAGACTGGTGCACATTCTGGTAACTGGAGCAACACCGCCGGTAAATTAATTAAATTCTTATAGTCATTAATTAGATAAGATCAGGATGTGACAACAAGTCGCAGCTGAATGGTTTCTCTCCCTCCCCTAAACTCCCTCATGGCAGTTTAGTTTGTTGCTTCCAGCTGTTTCGGACGATTTCCTCTGAGTTTATTACAGACCTGGAGCATCAGACCGCCGCAGCATCCACATGAGCTTCTCCAAACACAGAGAGAGAGCTGCATATGTTTAAGCAAAGTGACTTCATTAATTTGTTTTAATTATAAATTAATCTTGAACTTCCAGCTTCACTATTTAGGAAATCAGAGATCAACTCGGCTGTTTGTTGTGTGGACAGTTTGATGAGACGTTTAATCTCGTGAATAAAAAAATAAGGCGTCTGCACCTCGGCTCTGTCCTGCAAGAAGTCACGAGAAACATTACAGGAGACTAGTGACAGAATGATGCATGTTTTACCTTTTTTAGTCTGTTTAGAAACTCAGCTTCTGTTAACAGAAGCCTTAGAGGATCAGAATAGTGAGTTTCTTTTCCTTTTTCACACCAACCTGAAGTCTTGTTACCACACAGAGCACCAAGCAGCACAAGTGTGACATCATGCACTAAGGTGTGAGTCTGACAACAGTTTGGGGATTTTTGTTGTGGTAAATGAATGCAGACCGATCATGAATGCAAACCTACCTGATGTGACTTAAGGCTGCTGTGCTGGGTAAACATGCGACCGCAGATGTCGCAGGAGAACGGCCGCTCGCCGCTGTGCGTCTTCAGGTGGATCTTCAGGTAGCTGGACGACTTGAAGCTCTTCCCGCAGATGCCGCAGCTGTGCGGTCGGTCCACCGTGTGGTGCTGCTGGTGCGACCGCAGCTCGGTGATGGAGTTGAGCCGCCGGCTGCAGAGCACGCACGTGCACGGGATCGTGGCCGCGTGCGTCTGGATGTGTTTGCGCAGCGAGTCCACGCAGGCCACCGTGGCGCCGCACGCCACGCAGGCCAGAGACTTGTCGTCCAGGTGGGACGTCTTCTGGTGCATCTTCAGGGCGCTCTTCTGGATGAAGCACTTGCCGCAGGTCTCGCAGCTGAAGGGCCGCTCGCCGGTGTGGATCCGCTGGTGGCCTTTGAGAGTGTCGGCCTGGTTGAAGCTTTTGCCGCACGTCTCGCACCTGAACGGCTTCTCGCCCGTGTGGATGCGCAGGTGGCGCTGCAGGTTGCCTTGGATGGTGAAGCTTTTGTTGCAGTACTGGCAGTTGTAGGCCCGCTCGCCGGTGTGGACCATCTGGTGCATCTTCAGGCCGTGCGCTCGGTAGAAGCTCTTGCCGCACTGCTCGCAGCGAAACGGCCGCACGTCGGCGTGGAGACGCTGGTGGTTCCTCAGCAGCTGCTTCAGGGTGAAGCCTTTCCCACACACGTCACAGGTGTGGGGTCTCTCACCTGGACAGGACAAAGAGGACGTCTCAGGTAGAATAAAGCAAACTCCAACCATCCAAAGTTATTTGAATCTTAAAGCTCCGTCTATAAACCATTTGTTTTGGTGAGAATTGTGGTTCAATCATGCAGCTCTCACAGCCTCTTCTAAGTAACTGTTTTAGTTTTAAGACACTTAAAACGGTCGACTTTCTTTGCTGCTATTAATTTAAAATTCAAGGTGCAGCAGGCAACTAGTTCAAGTTTTGGTGAACGCTCACTGTACACACTGCATCCTCCACCACACAGCGTACAGACGAACACGTTACAGGTGGAAGTTAGATCTTGTCTAGCTTTAATTAATCATTTAAATCATTTTCATTATCAGTTAGATCTTCTCAGTTAGTTGATAAATCATCTGGTCTGAAAATGTTCATCTAGCAAAGTCCAGTTTAGTTTTAAAAACAAAAAAATATTCAGTTATTTATCACAAAGACTGAGAAAATGTTCACATATTTCAGGCCACAATCAGTGAATGTTGTGTGTTTGCTTAAAAAGTTAATAAAAATGATGCACGGACTAATAATCAGAATTGCTGCGACTAATTCTGTCGATCAACTCATCAGTTTTTGATGTTTCCAAACACAACAACAACAACAACAACAACAACAACAACAACAACAAATCTAATTAAATAACACAGTTTTAAATGTTTAAACACACGGTGTGAGGTTATTCACTTGGATGTGAATCTTTAAATATTTTTTGTGGTAAACATGTCGACCAGGAATCAGTTTTTACGCAAACGTTTCCCAAAACGTTCGTCAAAGCACCTTTACAGGTGATAAGCGTTGTGGAGTCCTTCAGCTCCCGTATCAGTAACACATTAAATAACACTTTTCTTAATGTTGTGTTGTTATGTGTCGTCCTGAGGATAAAGATGGCCGCCCACCTGTGTGAAGCAACATGTGAGCGTTGAGGCTTCTCTGGAAGGAAAAGCCTCGACCGCACTGGGAGCAGCTGAAGGGTTTCTCTGCGTTGGCCTCGTGGACGGCCTGGTGCGCTTTGAGCTGCAGCAGCTTGCTGAAGGTCTTCCTGCAGTATTTGCAGCTCAGCGGCTCCCTCTGACCCTGACCGTCCTTCTTCGCTCGGACTCGGTGGGACTTGAGCTTTACGACGCGTTTGGACCTGGTGGCGTAGCCCGGGTCGCCGTCGTCCGGATCCTCCAGCTCCAACTAACAGAAACATACGTAGAATTGTGCATTTATTCCTGGTTTTGAGCCTCAGTGGGTTCACAATCATCCCATGACTTACTGACAAGAAGGTGGAAATCATTATTTACAGAAGTAGCTCATCACATAAGGACGTTTTGGGTTTTAAATCCTGCGATCATTTCTTTGCTTTCTTGTTGTTTCCTGTTCCACGTGTAGCCATAACAGTCCGTCTATCGTTTTCATTCTCCGTCTGTCTCGTCATCTCTTCCCATTAACTTTTCCAGTCGTGACAACAAACTCCAGCGTCTCTTTCCTTCTGACGTGTCCAAAAAATGTCGCTTGCTGTTCCCTAGTTTTGTTCATCAGTGTATAAGTAGTGTTTAGTAATTTTAAAACACCTTCATTGCTCATTCTGTCCATATGAGACATACTGTACGTAGCATGCGTCTGTAAAACCACATGTTGTTTGACGTTTTATTATTTATGTTCCACGATTCACATCAGAGCTGGTAGAATGAAACAGCTGAGAGCTCTCATACGGATGCTAGTTGCTATTTCCCTATTTGTCAGTATATTTCTTATTTCCATAAACGCTGTTCCTGCCGTTGCTGCTCTACGTCTGAACTGATGCTTCAGTATTTCTTGGTCTAATTTAACAAAAAAATAAACTGCAAATTGACCTGAAATATGAAAACATTGAGCCTGATCAGTGACAAAGAGGTGCCGGTGAATCCCACCTGGTAGTCTGGGTCGTCGTCGTCGTCCTGGCCGGGCTCGTCTCTGTACGGACCAGAATCAGAAGACGCCTGGTCGGCTAGACCCTCCAGTCCTTCCTCCTTTATTATAACTGGCTGGATGCTGTCCTGAGAGCAGAGAGACAATAAGGACACGTGGACAGATTTACATCTACACGAGGTGAGCTGGGGAGCTAAAGGAACACTTTTAGTCTCGGTAAATCCTGATGTTGGAGCGTTCAGCGACACTCTTCCCTCAGGTTTTAAGCACAAGAGCAAACCCTGAGTCCTCTAGAGTCCGAGTGAACGTTTCCATCTTTAGTTACCACACTGCGATGGAATACATAGACGCTGATCTGCTGCACATGTTGGGAGATTTTTTGCCCTCATCCAATCCGAGTAATTGAACATTGAGAGTACACGCTTCCAAGTACATAAAAGTTATTAAAATCATTCCAGTGTATGTGATTGACGGCTAAATAGCTCAGCAGTGCATTGTGAAATAAACTGCATCCTATTAAGGTGTTTAGGAACCAAAACAAACATCTCCTGACATAAAGTCTGTTCCACAAAGAGCTACAACATCACGACACCAGCAATAAACAAGGTTTTTGCACAATAAACGTCCACCATCGCAGACAGCAATGATATTTGGAAAGTTCTTGATTTTCCATCGCTCAGGATTTGCTCTGTGTGTCACCTCCACCTCAACTGTCGCTAACTGCTCCAGAGGAGACGCCCATCATTCGTAGAGGCTCTTATGAGGCCATCTCGCTGCTGGACGGTCTCAGCCTGTGACTTGCAGCCATTTCTATTGTCCTTCGTGTCCTTAAAGGTGTTTACAACGTGTCTCCAAAGAAACTTGTATTTCCAGTAAATGTGTTGCAGATCAGCTGCAGTACCTGGTTGCTCCACCAGCTGGCGACGGGGCGCCATGACAGAGGCTCCTCTGATGTTTAATGCCCCCAACATTTTAGGTCTAAAGCTGATTGTGTTTCTTAAGAAATCCATCCAACTTGAAGTGAATAAGTCATAAATAAAAGTGTTAAAAGGAGAAAAGAAAAGTCAGGATTTTACCTCATAAGTTCGGCCTTTCCACAGATGAATTATAGGCGACCTCTTGACTCCACCGTCACCACCGGACACGACTGCAAAACAAACAAACGTGTTTCATCCGTCTCTGGAAATAAAATGTAAAAACTCAAAGACATGAAAGATTCTCTGACAAAGACGCTCTGATGATCAGTTTCATTTTCAAATTTCATCTACAATATTTCATTTCCTATGTGAAGGCACTTTACTGCCTCAGAATCTGTGTTACTTCACATTTTTCTGTTTTACACTAATTTTAGCTCATTTATTTTTCATCTTCAGGCGTGGACCTTATCGTTTCAGCGTTGGGTAAAAAGGGATTTAAATTGAAGAAGTTGCTTTCTGTCCTTATTTAGCGTTTTATTAAATATATCTCACACATCCTGTCATTAAAAAAAACACTAAACGGCAAGAAAAGCCTCATGTGATGACATAAAGAAACTCTTATCTTTATTGTATTCTGATATAAATTGTTAGAATCTATGGAGCGTTTCATTAAAGTTAAATGTGACACTACAACCAGCAGCTAGTTAGCTTAGCTTAGCTTAGCTTAGCATGAAGACTGGAGGTGGAAAACAGCTGAAAATGTGATGTTTGAGCTTCAACAAGCACAAAATAAAGATGTTTTCTTCTTCATTCATACAGCTCTTTCTGTAGCTCCTGTTAAAGGTGTCGATGCAGTTTGTAATCAGGAATAATGTCACTCTGAAGCTACCAGCTGGAGGACGAGCTGCTCACCTCTGCGGCTCTTCCTTCCCGACCGCTGGCTGCCCTCCACGGCGTCTCCTTCCCTCCTGGCCTCCTTCTCCCTGCCGCCTCCCTCCGTCAGCTCCTCGGCCTCCTTCCGGCCTCCGCTGCCGTCCAGCACCAGCTTCAGCTCCGACTCGGCCTCCTCCAGCCTCCTCCTCAGGTCCTTCATCTCAGCTACGCCCTGCGTCACCTGCAGAAAGAAAAACAGTTTCTAATGAAAATCACCTGTTTTTATTTATTTTTCTCCCCTAAACATGACTGCAACAGTAAATAAACACTCAGAAGCAGGAAAACCAGGCACCTCCAGCTGCAGCATCGAGGAATATTCGTGGCAAAGTTGGCAGATCTGCTCCACGGCCTCCTGAGCCAGAGACGTCATGAAGACGCTGAACTGGATCACCTGAAGGAGAAGCACACAGCGGGTCAGGAGGAACCAGCTGTTAACGCAGAATAAACTTATTTAAGGCTGAAACACATTTAGACAAAACCAGCAAGAGGAGCAGAGATGAGGAATTTTTATAAGACAATTTAAAAAAAAAAGAAAAATCTGTTCCTAATTATGACTAATAAAGCTCTAGTATTCGTATTTATTATTTTATCTCACATGATGTCAAAGGTCACAGAGAAGCAAAACCTTAAATAATCTATAATTTCTTTGTGAATTTGAGAAATTAAAACAAATTCTGTGCAGGTTTAAGCTGAACAAATGACTCAGGCAGCTCACTTTTCTGCTTCATGTTTAAAAAAAAGAAATATTTGCAGTGTTTGTTCTGTTTTGTTGGTTTCAGTTTGAAAACAAGTTACTACACATAGAAAAAAACAACAACAAGAGGTGAAACGGTGAATAATAAAAATAATATCACAGCAGAAATAAAAGTCCAATACTCAGTACTGAGGTTACAGTCAGACATCATCACTGTTGTTGGCCAGTGTTCAGGTTTTTATCAGTGATGCACGGATGTGGAAAAGCTTCTTTTTAATGTGGTGGCTGCTGCAGGGAGACGTTATTTCACCACTTTATGTGCCGTTAGGTGCCTTCAGTTGTTTAAGAGCTTCATCATTTATGGAGCTGAGTTCTGTTCAGTTCAGCAAACTCTGTTTTTTTGTGGCATCAATCTGCTATTTTTAAAAGTAAGAAACCTTTAAAGTCATTTATGAAGCAGAAACTCTCTTTTCAGGCTTCTGAAGTGAGAGAAGAAGCAGCTTTACTGGTGAAATGTCTGATTATTTCATATTCAGCAGGTTGCTGGACGTCAAATAGTCTTTTTTTTTTTTTGACGAATTAAAAAATACACAAGAAGGACTCACAATCAATAAAATAAGCTCTTAAAAAAAAAAAAAAAAAGTTTTAGCTGACAAACAATCTGTAGAAGTTGAAAAAATTATTTATGTTTTGTTTTTAAAAATTATTTCTAAAACTTTTCAGGTAATTAATAAAATATTAAGATAAAGATCCAGAAGAGACCTGATCTCACTGTCTTTATGATTATAATAATAAATATAGTGAATATTATGGTGTGGATCCAGAGGAGACCTGATCTCACTGTCTTTATGACTATAATAATGAATATTATGGTATGGATCCAGAGGAGACCTGTGGCGGAGGCTCCTGTAGACCTACAGCAGATAGATAGGCCCGGGCCTGCTGTCCAACTCAAAATGGCGCCCAAACATGGATTCTTGTGAGCTGTCGTTTCACCTTCATCACTGAGACTCACACATTTACACGTTTCCGAACCCGAATATTCAATGAAACCAGCCGAACCGGCCCAGACAGCGCGGGTCGGTGGCGGCTAGCCGCAGCATCCAGCTAGCTCTTCTATTTCTATGATCAGCTGGTCGCCCGTCGCGGAGGAAGCGGCGGAGCAGCGAGAACCGGGACCAGAACCGGCACCGACGCCGGCTGGGCTGCCGGTAAACGGGCACCGGTGGACGTACCTTCTCCTCCGAGGAGCCGTGCGTGTTTTCCGGCGCACATGTGGACACTTGTGGACGAGTTGGACCGCAGCCGCCCAGAACTTTGCTCATTTCCGACACGGTGGCGTTGACCATGATCTCCAGGATGGAGCAGACCTGCGCCTCCAGCTCCGACATGACGGCGGCTCCGGGCGGCTCTCTTCTGCGGTTCAACAGCGATGAAATAAAAACTAAACCGCTGCTTTATCGCGGCTCTGTTGTCGCTACGGTGGAAAAACACAACACGGATCCATCTTCTTCTTCCTGGTTCATGCTCTTCAAAATAAAAGCACGCATTCTTCCTCGCTGCTCAGGGTTTAACAGATGTGGGCTGAGCTGCACTCAAGTAAAGATTCTGGACTTTATTATAATAAGCAGCAGGGTGGTAGTTATTGCATTTTTATTCCTTGAGCACTTTGTGTTGTATTTCTGTTTGTATTAAAAGTGCCATATAAATAAAGTTTGATTGATTGATGGTGTCTGCGTCCAATTTTCCTCCAAAACTGGACGAAAACTAATGTCTGCTGCAGGTGTGACATTATATAACACCTGCTCTTTAGGGTTTCACACATTTCTGTCAGAAATTTTGTAAGAACAGCGATAAGAGCGCAAAAAAAAATGTGCTGAAGACGTCTGTATTACTGTGGTTTAATTACTTATCTGTGTTCCTTATAAAACAAAAAGGTATATATATATATAATCTAAAAACATCCTCCAATTTGTGTTATAAAGTCTAAAGTTCATAGACAAACCTGATCCAGTCTGAGAGGTGGATTATAGAAACATTAAAAAAAATATTAGTTCCTCTTTTATGTTTTTGATATATTTATGTTTAGATTTTATCATTATTGTGACTCAGATATTATATAAAACTGAAGTAGCAGTATGCATTATATTTGAGGGGATTTCTTTTGTGTGTTTGCAGGAGAAAAAGAAGCAACAATGATTTATTATCTGAATCATTATTCTGAAGTATAGTGGCATATTACTTACATATATGCCGTATGAATATTTTTGACAGATTGTCTTATTAAAGAAATGCTAAAATGCCATCAGTGTCTCCTGTAAAGATTCCACAAATATACTAATAACATCTGTTTTGTTGTATATTTCCACCGGAAGCACCGTCGTGGTATCGTGTCCGACTTGACGGTGTTGACATTTAGTTTAATTTAACTCAAAACTGAGGAACACTAAAGTTTTATTGTTATGCTAACCGCTGCCATCAATATCTACATTAATAGTGTGATTATTAGAAATAAAAACACAACAGAAGAGCGATTCAAGTATTTTTCTCGAAGAGCATCATGTAAACTCGTGGATATTTGCTGCCCTCTAACGGCCACAGTGAGGAACTACAGCAATTCGCAGCGTAAAGTTAGACATGAACACACAGAGGCATTTCCGGTCAGCACTTTCAACATAAAAATACCTGAAACGGTAGTTTGAAATAAAGAGAAAATATTAAAATGTTGTGTTAGTATTCTTCTAAACATTAGTAAAAGTTTCTATTGTCGGGTTTTTAGCTTTATATTTAAATTAGCCTGGTATATTTCTCTACTGCTCAGTACTCTGGGTCAATGTCTGTAGTTTTATTTGGTCTATATTACTACCTCATAGTCTGAAACTTGCCTAAACCGCTGAAGAGAACTCCATCCATCCATCAATCTATCTTCTATACGCTGCTTTATCCTCTGTAGGTAGTTATTAGTTTTATTCTTCAGAGATATCAATCAGGGTTCTTGTAGTGCTGCTGGTTCTTTTGTCTCTACTAACACACACAATATAAAGAATATCAACTGGACCATCACAAGTAAAGATAAATAAACTGAAGCGTTGACGGATTCTGATCAGACTGCTGATAAACTAAAGTTATAATCTGGAGTAAACGATGTCAGTTCAGAGGATTACGGTTTTAAACTCAACATATCGAGTGCTGAACAAAAAGATCCATGAGTGATGTGATTCAACACGTCGTTTATTTAAACCGGGTGTTGAACACTCCAACGCGCACAATTAAACATTTCAGTGGCACCGTGTTGCTAAGACACTAAAAACAACTTTATCTGCGACAAGATTGTGTGAATTATCCGTGGAGTTTGAACTTTTGACCGGCGACCGAAGCTAACGTAGTTTTGGTTCGCTTCTGTTTTGGTGAATACGTTCTTTCAGGATGTTGTGAGTGTGTTTGCTAATACTTTCTGGTACTTCCCACTACAGTTGTGTCTTTTGAGCAGCCTTGAGTCTGAAAACCCGAGTCCACAGCTGCTACAGGAGTACGGTCTCTCCCCCGTGTGGACCTGCATGTGAAACTTGACGTGTCCGAGCTGCCTGAACCTCACGCCGCACACCTCGCACTCGTAGGGCTTCTCTCCCGTGTGGATCCGGAGGTGTCTCTGGTAGTTTGTGTAGATCCTGAAGGCTTTGCCGCACTGCTCGCACTTATGCGGTTTCTCTCCAGAGTGCTGCAGCTTGTGGGACTTCAGGGCCTGGAGGATGATGAAGCGCTTCCCGCACACGTCGCAACCGAACGGCCTTTCCCCCGAGTGGATCCGCAGGTGGTAATCGTAGGTGGCTTTGTAGAAGAAAGACTTGCCGCACGTGTCGCAGCTGTGTCGCACGCTCCCCGTGTGGATCAGCTCGTGCCTCTTCAGCGAGCTCGCGGTGTCGAAGCCCTTGTGGCAGGTCCTGCAGCTGAACGGCGTCACGTTGACCGTCGTTCTGTCCCGTCGGTAGATGACTCTGCGGTTGCCTCGCTCTCGGGTTCGCCTCCTCGCGACCTGCCCGTGTCGCTCATCGTGGGTTACCTTCTGGTGTTTCTTCAGCTGGCAGTTGTAGAGAAAAGTCTTCCCGCACAGGTCGCACATGAACGCCTTCGACGCTCCGTGAAGAAGCATGTGCGCCTTCAGCTTGTTGTCCTGGATGAAACTCTTCCCGCACACTTTGCACTTGAACGGTTTCTCCCCGGTGTGGATGCGAATGTGTCTCTTCAGGTTGTGCTGCAGGGTGAAACCCGCCCCGCACGTCTCGCATGTGAACATCTTCCCTCTGTGGACCGACTGGTGCGTCCTGAGCGATCGCCTCTTCACGAAGGCCTTGCCACAAACCGTGCATTTGTACGGATGCTCGCCCGTGTGGACGCTTCGATGGCACTGCAGCGTGAAGGCGTACCTGAAGCCCTCGCCGCACTCGGAGCACTTGTGCGGCTTCTCCACCGCGTGCACCACCTGGTGAGCCTGCAGGTTGTGTTTGGTTTTGAAGCCTTTCCCGCAGGACGAGCAGACGAACGGTCGCGTGTCCGTGTGAACCAGCTGGTGGGTCTTCAGGTGCATCCTGGTTTTGAAGGTCTTCTCGCAGAGCTGGCAGCCGAAGGCGGCGTGCTTCTTCTCCTCGTGTCGCAGCAGGTGGTACTCGAACGTCGCCGTGTTCCTGAATCTTCTGGGGCACTGCTCGCAGGCGAACGGCCGCTGCTCCTTGTGCGTGTTCATGTGCTTCATCAGGTGGAACTGCCGGTTGAAGCTCTTGCTGCAGACGTCGCATACGAACAGCTTCCCTTTCTTCTTGACCGCTGCTTCCTGTGTGGCTTCAGCTGCGTTGGTTGTGACGCAATCCTCTGCAGGAGTGGAAAAGAGAAAAATTAGCACTTGAAATTACACTTAGAGCCGAATTAATAAACAGGAAACACTGTTTAAAGTCCTTATTCCTGTGTTTAAATGTAAACTATTTCCATATGAACAGTTTAAAATCCCACCTTGTCCAGTGGATGCTGATGAAGTCACCTCCTTCGCCGCCTCTCCACCTTCAGTACGAGACATTACTGACAAACAAAGACACGTCATTTACACCGGAATCTGAAGAAAAGCTGTAAATTTTCTGCCCGAGTTTCAATTTTCCTTCAAAACTGGACGAAAATAATGTCGGTGTGAAGTTACATAACACCTGCTCTGCACAGGTTCACACATTTCTGTCAGAAATCTTTTATAAGAACAGTGATGAGAGCGAATAAATGTGCTGAAGACAACACTGTGGTTTGATTAGTTGTCATCTGTGTTCCTTATGAAAGAAAAAATAGAGAGAATTTGAAGAAAAACACCTCATTTGTATCATAAAGTTTAAGGTTCATAGACAAACCTGATCCAGTCTGAGAGGTGGACTGTAAAAATATTATTAAACCTTCTTGTTATTAGCTCCTCTCTTGTGTTTTAAATATATTTATCTTTATATTTTATCATAGCTGTGACTCAGATCTTGTAGAAAACTGAAGTATGAGTATGAATTATATGTGTTTTGTGTGTTTGCAGGAGAAAAAGCAGCAACAATGATTTATTATCTGAAGTTAAATATATTTTTTAGTCTTTTATTTTTTAGTAAATGCTGCTGTGTGTCAGTGAGCAGCTTTAAATGGCTGCTAATTCCTTAATTGCCATAAACTTTTTTTTTTTTTTGCTGCTGCTTTTTTTGAAACTTACCTGCATGTCGTCCACCCTCCACTGGAGCAGCGGCAGCGGCAGGAGATGACTGTTTGACTCCTTCTTCTTCTTCTTTATCCGTCTTTCTTTTCAGCTTCCCAAAAGGCTTGAGGGTGAAGATCAGGCCGCTCTGCTCGAACAGAACCGGGCAGCCGCTCAGCACGTTCTCCCTCCACAGCCTGGCGTTGTCGAACCGCTCGGTCACAGCCTTCAGCTCGGCCTCCAGCTGCTTCACCCGGGCCTTCAGCGTCCCGTTTTCAGCCTGCAGCAGCGACGACAGCTGGGAGAAGACCGTGCTGATCTTCCTCGCTGCCTCTCGCACCAGCATTTCCACAAACTCTGGCTGTGAGGATTAAAATAAAGCAAAACTGTGGTTTATTATCGAGCATCTAGAATGATAAATATAAGAATCTAATGTGAGCATGAAGAAAAATGAATCAGTTTCCTACTAACAATCTGTGACTATTGCTTAATAAGTGCACAACAAATATAACAAATCTAGTGCAGATGTCAGTATTAAAGGCTTCCTGTGTTTAATAAACATTATTGATGATTGTAACTGTGAAGGTTTCCTGGCTGTATTAGTGCCTCTATTTATTTATTAAGGGATTCAGAATTATAGACACACAAATAGTGACAGCTGGATTTATCAGCAGACTGAACCACAGCAGTAGCCAAAATCCAAAAATGGTAGCCTGACATCTTCACAATCAACAATTTGATTCGTTAAGAGATTCTCCTTTAAATTAATCTGTTATCAGAAGGAATACAAAACACACACAAAACCCCGTCTCACCATCAATCAGACTTTATTAATATAGAACTTTCATATGAATTAAATGATGAATGGGGGGAAAAAATGCAACGAAACACAAGAAAATCAAAAATAAAGCATGCAATGAGGAAGCACAAGAGGAAAAAATAAGATAAATATTTAAAAAAAACAATATCTATAAATAAAATACTGCTAGACAGGCAAATAAAGAGCAAAAACATAAGTCAAAATTCATAAAAGTGGAATAACAAAATAATAATCAAGTAATAAACGACCCATTGAATAGACGACTATATGTATGACCCTTACGAGGATCCGTAGCCAACTGACTTTTCGGAACAGTAAACAGATTGTCTGTTACCGTCAGTCCAACAGCACCACTGTTATTTAACTGACTGGACACCATAAATAAAACAAACAAACAAACACACAAACAAAAGCCATACTTATATTTCGCACCAGTCGCTACACGTCAAAAAGCGCCTGAACTTTACTTTTACGTGTTTAACTAGCTACGAGCCGCCGCCATCTTTGTTGTGCTTGCCGTCGCGCTGCCCCTCCGCTTGATTTAACTCCGTCGGTCCACTCTCCTCAGACACAGTGTTTCTGAGCCGGTCAATAAACACGCACGCTGCTAGCATCACACACTGTACGGGTTAGCATAGCAGGTTAGCATCACATAACTGTACGGGTTAGCATCACAGTCTGTCCAGTCAGCATCAGTAACCACCGATACGGGAAGCTAACATTTAACCGCTCACTCACCTTTTGTTTCTCCTTTCTAGCAGCTTCCTCCTTCGGATTTCCACCAACATCGACGGCGGTTTCAATAACTATGTCCATGATGGACTTCGTTTCTAAATAAAACACCAAGTTTGCTGACATTTTAAATCCTAAATCAACAGCTGGCGGTTAAAAGTGACAGGAGACTCAGTGCCATCGATCCCGGAAACACAAGCAGCACAAACTCACAATTTCAAAATAAGACTTGATCTGGTTGCAAATGTTCTTTTATTCCAGTTGCGAGCAGAAGAAAAAAAATAAAGACTACAACTTTACAGAGCACTGTACATTAGAAAGTCTCTCTCTTTTGTTTTTTTTTTACAACTTCAATTTTCAATTTGAAAATAATTACATCTGGATGACAAATCAATTATGAATTCACAAAACCGGAATATAAACAATAACATCTTTCAAACGAACGAAAAAAGCCATTAAAAAAATACCGTAATCTTCATTTTAGTAACAACTTAAATGGTAAAAGAGTTGCTGAAAACAACCTCTACATACTAATCCTGAACACATGATTCATTTATCATCTTCAAAACATGAACAGATCCGACCTCGGTATCTCTACTGAGGTTTCACATGAGTAACTTTATTTCTGAAGAGCCACAATGTTTTAATAATTAGCATTGCTTTCTTTGAAGGTGTTTAATAGCTCAGGCTGTTGATGCAAAGACAGAATTAGAAATGCCACAAACAATGCTGCTAGTCAGTTCTGAATAATCCCTTAACTCTGACCCAGTGAGAGCGGAAGTAGCCTCCATTTGTTGGATTAATAAGAAGTCAGACGAGCATCCCTTTCTCTATCACGAGCAGACGTTTTGTACTTTTTCTTAACGGCTGTAACGACTGAACCTACTTTCAAAACCGCAATAAATTAACTTCCTGTCAATAAACCAGCTCATCAGTTACTTTACCAGCCTGACAGCAGATCAGAAAGATGAAAGTTATTTTTGCGTCAACATTTCGAGCCACTGGGTTGGATGTAACTAATGCCTCCTCCTCCTCTTAGTCCCGTTTGCTGGATGCAGAATTGGACAACAAATCGCAGCGTCCCGTCACTACGACCCGTCACAGCTGTGCTTCTTGAGCTGCCTGGAGTCGGAGAAGCCTCGGCCACACTGCTGGCACGAGTACAGCTTCAGGCCGGTGTGGACCTGCAAGTGCGACTTGAGCTGGTTCGACTGGTGGAACTTCCTGTGACAGTACACGCACTCAAACGGTTTCTCCCCCGTGTGGATCCTCAAGTGTCTGTAGAAGTTTCCGTCCGTCCTGAAGGCTTTGCCGCACTGGTCGCATTTGTACGGTTTCTCCCCGGTGTGGATGCGCTCGTGCTGCTTCAGGCTGGCTGCGTGGAAGAACCTCTTGCCGCACACGTCGCAGACGAACGGCTTCTCCCCCGAGTGGCTGCGCTGGTGGTAGCTGAAGGAGTATTTGTTGTGGAAAGACTTGCCACATATGGTGCAGTTGAACTCCTTGTGCTCGCTGTGGCCTCGCTCGTGAAGCTTGAGGGAGCAGGCGGCGCTGAAGCCTCTCAGACAGATTTTGCAGCTGAACGGTTTAACCAGCGACTTGTTCTGCCGTCGAGTCTGGAACAAGTTTTGCGTGCCGTCCGACTCCTCGCTCCTGTCGGCGTGCACGTACTTCTGATGTACGAGCAGCCTGCAGTTGAAGAGGAACGTCTTCCCGCACAGGTCGCACATGAAGGGCTTCCTGGCGCCGTGGATGAGCATGTGGGACTTGAGCTTGTTGTTGTCCGAGAAGCTCTTGCCGCACTCCTGGCAGGTGAACGGCTTCTCTCCTGTGTGGATGCGAAGATGCCTTTTGAGGTTGTTGTTCAGGCTGAACCTCGCGCCGCAGATGTGACAGGTGAACGGCTTCTCGCCTGTGTGGACGACGCTGTGTCTTTTGAGGGCAGTGCCGGTCCGGTACGACCTGTTGCACACGGTGCAGATGAACGGCGTGTCGCCCGTGTGCTTCCTCTTGTGCACCGTCAGCGAGTGGGCGTACTTGAAGGTCTCGTCACACAAGGGGCATTTGTACTTTTTGGTGCTCGAGTGAACCATCTGGTGGAAGCGAAGCGTGTCTTTGCTCTTGAAGTCCTTCCCGCACGTTGCACAGCTGAAGGGTCTTTCCTCCGAGTGCACGGCCATGTGACACTTGAGCTGCACCGACGTCTTGCAGGTCTTGTCACAATGCGGGCACTTCAACATCTGCTTCCGTTTCTCGTGGCGTAACAGGTGGTTTTCCAGAGACCGCTTAATCCTGAACGTCTTCCCGCACTGATCGCAGCCGAAAGGCTTCGGCGGTTTCATCCGATCGTGGCGCTTGAGGTGATTCTGAAACGACTCCTCCTTCCTGTACGACCTCTTACACTGAGGACAGGGGAAGGGCAGCGGCGCTTTGGTCGCCTCGTGACGTGAAAGGTGGTTTTCCAGAGACTTCTTCTCGAGGAAACTTCGGCCGCACTGCTCACAGGGAAAAGGCTTCTTGTGGACCTTCATGTGCTTCTTCAGTTCGCCTTTCCAGTGAAAACCGACGTCGCACTGCTCGCAGAAGAAGCGCTTCGCTGTCTGTGAATCTTTTCTTCTCAGCCTTCTGACCTGGTCCTCCAGCTTGACCTTCTTCTCTTGAGTGTTGCTGTCAGCGGGAACTGGAAATACAGACAAATGCATAAGAACTAGAACTTTATTATTTAAACATTCAGCTCCTTCCCAAACAGACGGGCTACGATCAACACGTACCTCTCTCCGTTTTTTCAGCCGCCCTTCTCGCCCGCCTTGTTCTCCCGGAGGGTCCCTCTTCCACAGAGTTCTGTGATGCATAAGGAAATAATTTGAGGGTTTCTAAGCATAACAATCCACATTATAGACACGTGACACCAGAAACACTTTACATTCGGTTGCATAAAGACAGGAACACTATCTGTGCAGCCTGTTAAGCCCTTAAAGCATCTATCTCCGACAAGATGCTGCTGAATTTGACACTTTACCAAATCCAAACCAGCATCTTCTGCTTTCCAAACATCACAGTACAAACGTTTTGCTTCAGGTCAGACATTCAGAGCGAACACACCCGACCTTTTCTTGCGTCGAGTCGAGGCCGCTGACGGTGCTGGAGTCCGGACTGGGGACGTCCTGCGGCGTGTAACCCGGCGAGGCTGCCGGTTTGAGGATGAACGGCGCCGTTTGCGTCATTTCAGAAACGGTGGTCGACGCTGCGGGAGGCGGCTGTGTGACGACCTGACCGGCGTCCACCAGCAGCACCGTGGGAGCGGGGCTGACGCTGCCGACGAACACCATCGGAGCCGCTGCGGGTTTGGAGACGGTCTCAGGCGCAGCGACGGAGCCGGGAACGACTTCAGTGGCTCCTGCTGACACTGATGACGTGTTCAGGGGGGAGTCCTTCTCCTGTGGGGCAGCCTGATTGGTGGAGGCTGAAACTGCTGCTTCTTCTACATTTAAAGACAAAGATCAGATTATCTCAAACAGGGGGTCTGACACAGGGCCACACTTAGAGACAGACAACCAAGCTCACTCACATTCACACCTACGGACAATTTAGAATCACCAATTAACCTCAGCATGTTTCTGGACTGTGGGAGGAAGAACCCGGAGAGAACCCACGCTGCACGGGGAGAACATGGAGACTCCACGCAGGAAGATCCCGGGTGTCCTCACCGGGACGTGAACCTTCTAGCTGCGAGGCGACGATGCTAACCACCAAAGTTATTACTCATGATGTATTAAGAATTCACATTGGGGGGTCACGAACACAAACTTTTGTTATCTTGGGGGTCGTGGCTCAAAAAGCTTGAGAACCGCTGACCTTAAAGGTTCCATCTAGTTCCCCTTTACAGGCAGATTTTAGGGTTGTTTGGGTTTAGGTTTTTAGAACGGATGTGATATAGCATCTTGGAAGCCGACTCGCTGTGGAGGGACTTGAGGAACAACAGAAGTAAACAGTTTAGAACAACCACGTGGTGCAGTGACGTCATTACAGGAGGCTCATTACTGCTAATCAACATGTGAACACAAACTCTGCCACAGGTTGTGATCAGATAGGATTTTAGATTTAATTTCTTTCCCACTGAACGCATGATTTCTGTTAAACAAACACGTTAGTTCACATTTACAGAGTATGATTCACATCCTTATGCTTTATAATGTCAGGATGCATTTTATTCTTTTATCAAACATGGCAGCTCTTCTGATTTAGATATTACACTTTTTAAAAATGTCCTCAAACTGTGACTAACTCCTCAGCCCTGCTGCTTATTAGGAGAACAGCTGATCCATGCAGAAGTGAGTAAACAGACAAACTGTGTTTCACCCCAACAGGTGAGTCTCACGTGCTGCTCACCTGTCACGGAGCCGTCCTGCTGCGGGCCTCGTCCCGGACCTCCTGCCGTCTTGCTGCCGCCCTCGCTGATGGTCTTCAGCTCCTTCTCCAGCTGCTCCATGTCCCGGCCCAGCTGACCCACTCTGGCCTCCAGCTCCTGCTCCAGCTGGCCGGCTTTCCGCTGCAGCACGTCCTCCAGCTGCTCCACTTTGGCCCGCAGCGCCTCGTTCTCCTCGAACAGCTCCGAGGAGAACTCCGTGAACACCTTGTGGATCTGGACCACCAGGCACTTCTCTATCTCCTGGATTTCGCCGAACTTCGCCTCCTCCCACTCCGCGCTTGGCGCCTCTTTCGCCCAGACATCCCTGAAGACGGACACGGTCGCCTGGATAGCGACTTCCACGATGGACGCCACTTCGCTGCCGAACCTCGCCTCCATGTCTCCCCGGTGTTCTCCCGAACTCAGCCTGCTGCTTCCGCCGCGTCGTGGCGCATGTTGAGTCCAAAGCAGCACTTTAAACGGGACGCGGTTTGGCTGGAAGCACCACAACAGTCCTCCTTCCGTGTTAACGCTCCGTCCAATCCAATATGGCGCCTGTGTGCGTCTCTGAAAGACTTCCGTGTTACAGATCAGCTTCCGGTGTCATGTCCGCTTTATGAAATAAAAGCCTCAGAAAGCTTCAGACTCAATGGTCCATGAAAGGCAAGAAAAACTGCAGTTGTTCATAAAATTAACACAGAAATATATTTTCTATAACAAAACAAACACCACTGATAGTCCGATTACTTTGGTTATATAATAATTAAGGTGATCTCTTTCATTAATAATAAAATAGGATCTTCGTATTAAATACAGTCAGATAAAGCTGCACTTTGTATATTTTTTTGAAGGGTTTGAACCCTTAATGTCTCAGTTACTCAGGTAAACTCATGACATAAATCACACCGTGGGTCTTAATCTCAGTATTTATATGAATATTCAGTGTTAAACATAACTGAATTAGGCTTTTCTACTTTCTAATGTTTGTATTTTTACTATAGTTACACTTATAATGTTTGTATTTCTATTTCTATTTTGTTCTTGTTTTTCATTGTACTTATTATTCATTAGGCTTTTTAAAAACCGGCACCTGAGTACCATTTTCGTACCACAAACATGTAAACGTGAGATGGCATGACAGTAAAGTTTCTTGAATCTTGAATCTATTTTAAGCGGCTAAACTAATTTGCAATGCCAGCCCATGTTTTCTGATGGAAAGAACTTTGCTTAGAATGCGCTTTATAAACTTAACTTAACCCTGTTCAGGTCATTTGGTTTAGATGACAGGTGGTGTTTTATTTTTTAAAGTTTTTTTTAATAGAAAAAGAGGAACATTTGTCATGCATTTGAAACCAAAAATAACTTCTCAGAAAATGTATTTAACATGTAATTAGTACCAACTAATACTTTGGGACCCCGACAGACCTTCTACGTACGGCAGCATGAAAGTCTTGAACAGGGCTAACTAGAGCAGCATCGACCATGTTTCAGGTGTGCACTGGCTTACCTTTAGGTGCTTTGTTGTTTAATTGAAATGTTTACTAGTGGGACCTTTTTTCTGCTAAAATTCTAATTTTGTTTTGATCGAGCTGTAACAGGCCACTACTCATGTTAATGTCTGCACACCCCAAAGGATACTCAGTCATTATGGATCTTATGTATTTTTACACTAGAGCCGAGTCAAATTTTCCACTTAAAATTATTAAATTAAAATGTTCTATGTGGAGTAGTGAGAGCGCCAAATTACCACGATAAATCAATAAAAGAAAAATAAAATGAAAGTGGAAATAAAAAGAGGAATAAATAAATAATGTGGCAATATACAGCAATATTAATCAAAAATGAATTCATAAAAGAAAACGCTAATAAAAGTAGAAATATAAAGACAAATAATTTTTTCATTTCTATTTTTATAATGTTGCTTTAAAAGCAAAGGAAGTATGCACAGAAAAAGTTGTGCAGTAACGACATTCCTACTAAATAAAAATAAATAAAAATGAAAATGAAAAAAAAAATGAAAACAAAAATACATTTTAAAAAATCTAAAAAATAAAAAAAAATATTATTTTCTATTTATTTGTCTTTATATTTCTACTTTTATTAGCCTTTTCTTTTGTGGATTAATATTGCTTTATATTGCCACATTATTTATTTTATTTACTCTTCTTTTTAGTTCCACTTTTATTTTATTATTCTTTTATTGATTAATTTTTGCAATATGGCGCTCTCACTACTCCATATTCTTCCCCCTTGCTAAAAAAAAAAAAGAAAAAAAAGAAAATGCAACTATAACTGCTGGACACATGATATCTCCTCCTTCTGCTACTTGCATGTCTACGTCTTAACTCAAATTTTAAAAAAGCATCAAGCATCCATCACATCCATCACACTGTGAAGGGCAAACATTTGAGTTAACAACAAGCCAAACACATTCTGTGTGCAGGTGGACTTTTTGCTTAAAACAACTAATTCTAGACCCTCATGCTAAGTTCCTGCTCATTTCTTTGGATTACTGATGTGGGCTGGTGAGGTCCACTGACACATCAGTGACACTTCAGGGTTAATAAAGTTCTGTCTTATCTTATAGCTCTCTGGTCCCTCCTTTGCTGCACCTCCTGGACGCTTCACAAAAAGACACACAACACGCAGACGTTATCTTTCAATATCACAATCTGTATTTATCAATTCAAAGAAACAACTGTACAGAGTCAATGATTCGCAGTTGGTTCTGATCGTTTTATACATTATTGGTTCATTCATTCACCTTTTTCCATGTTGGTAGTTTGTGTCGCCCCGGTATGTTACAGTGATCGTATAGTGGAGAGATGGGACTTCAAGACATGCACAGCAGTACCGTAATAGAGACTATGTCATTCATGCAACCTCTCTGTCCTGATGTGTCGGCGTGGAGGAGGCGTGGATCGTTTTCAACCCGACTCGTGGTACAAATCAAACAATCTCGCTTCAACACAGACTCAGAAAAGTTCAACATAGCAAAGACACGGGGGTCGGTTCTCCCAGTGTCGCCGCCGATAAACTCGTTTTCTCGCTTGTTTTTTTGTTTGTTTTTTTTTTTACAGAAAATACTTCTCAGTAGTTATATTTGTACATGATCAGGTTGCTGTAGGCAGGCATACAGAGAGACAGACAGGCCGAGGGCGGGTGGACGGTGGTGGTGGTGGTGGTGCTCGGGGCTCCTGGTTGGGGGGAGGAACTGTGGCAGCAGGTCAGCTGAAACACCAAATTAAATTCAGCATTTACTGGTTTTATCTTTGGCTGGTGTCAAAAATGTTCAGCGGATCAACACGAAGAAACGACTGCTTGCTCGAGGTTTGGGCTCGTTTCCTGCAGAAAAGTGCGTCTGAGCATCCCGACGAGGTGAAAATCATCTAAAATATCTACACGAAAGAAATAGAATCAGTGGAACTAATCCTGATGGTTTAAAGAGGCAAGGCTGCACGTTTAAACTCAGAAATGATGTGGAGCTAAACGCCTCACAGGAACAGAAATCAGATTTAACCGATACAAAAATATTGTGCTTTCTTTATTTTTTTAGCAATCGAGCGGTTTGTGTTCACGAATAAACGTCTACATCTGAGAATAAGAGGGATGAAGCTTGACCAGAATACACGGAAAAGTGAAGATGAACCTGATTTCTTACTGAACAGGATCCTTCTGTAAACAAAAACTGGAGACTTTAGAGATAACAACCCCCCAACGAAAGATCAGCTGACCCACTAAATCCTCACCGACTGAACTGCACGTGTTCTTACAAGCGTGTTGTTGAACCTATCAGCCCTGATTGTCCTCAGAAACACAGAAACAAAGGTTTTATCTTTAAAAAAACAACAACATAAAACTATACGTCAGCGTTACACTTCAGTATATGAGCCCTATTCAACGTCTAAACCTTCCCTTTTCTACTCCAGGCAGTGTGTGTTTGTGTGTCAGGACCGTTTTTGGTGAAGCTGATGCGTTTCTCTGCTCCTGAGCGGTGAACTAAACATGAACACGTGGAGCTAACGAACGGCAGGCTGATGCAGAGCAGGAGTCAGGGCTGCAGCGATCCATTGTACTGATTGGTGTAGCGGATATTTTAACAGTAACTACTATAAAAAAGATTTAGTAAACAAAAACATCTCGTCGTCTGGTTCTGCCTGACGAACTAAAAACCTGCACGTTTGCTGATTTGAAGCAGAGACGCGAGCGACGAATCGATTATAAAACGGTTTGTTTCGCTGATTTTTCTCACTTCCGGCGCGGATTCGCTGCTTTGTGACGGCGTGACATGAGAGCAGCAGATGAGCGGATTTCCTCTCGCGTGGCAGCTGATCCTGAAAAAGGCCTCGGGTTTAAAAACGTCTACCTATCGTAGGGGGACCTTTCCGGATGCGACGTCCCTCCGCCGGGTCCCCGACACACCACTGACCACCAGGCCTCGGCTCTGCAGCAGGCCAGCGTCCCTAGTGCAAAGTAAAAGTTGCATAAAGTCTCATTGCTACCATGGACATCATCATCATCATCATCATCATCATCATCGTCGTCGTCAACATGAATCCCTGAACACACCCTTCTACAATCCTCTTGGACTCCGTACTACTGCATACTACTGAGGGGGGGTTTTGGTTTACAAGATGCAACAAGTGTGAAGTTTCTTTACGTCGGCGGCTGAAAAAACCTGCATCAGCGCTTCCTTCAACAGAAACACCTCCGACCAACGAGCAGCTCTGGCGTTTTCTATCATCGTCTTTGAAGTTCTTCTCCAGAGAGCAGAAGGAAACGCTGACCCGAACGTCTCCCAGCAGCACAGCGTTACATTCGGAAAGAAAACACCGACTAAAAACACGTTGGTGACAAACCAAAAGGTGTTTTATTTGTCGTTCAATCTGGGCCGAACACAACAGCAGCAGCAGACACGCTCACCCAAACCGCCCGCTTCTGGATTTCTCCACCGAAGCCGAGCATGTTGCGAACCACAAATCTGAAATCTGGTAGTTTCTGATGTAGGAACGATGTGATCTGTCGGTGTGGGTTCGCCGCCGCCGCTTGCTCGTTTAAAAACTCTTCGACCGTGTTCACTGTGTCCAACATGCATGTAAATGGTTGCATTGATCCGGCATTCCCACCTAATTCAGATGCATAAGATGTGTATGGAAAACAAAAAAAGAATGTTTTTAAGACGTATTTCATGATCAGGTCAGGAGAGGATTTAAAAACCGGAAGTTAAAATCCTTAAAATAGAGACCAGAGCACTGTGAGCTCACGGCCTCGTTATTATTATTATTATTCTTGTAGATGTAGAGATCTGAAATCGAAGGAACATGTAAACTTTTGCATCTAAAGTCCAACTGAAATCAAACCAACTCCCTCTGATGAGCAGGTAAAAGCAAATTGTTGAATGAAATTTTAAAAATAGGTCTTGGGGTGACGGTTTAAGGATTAAAAACTCTGTGAAGCAGCTGCACAAAGGTGGGGACATTAAACTGATGTACATTTGGAGTTTTTTGTCTTGCAAAAAGCCAAAAACAAGCATTCAAACTGTGATTCTTACAAACCATAAAGAACCAGCTGTCGACTCTTTATCAGCGTTTTAAAACCGTGTTTATCAGCTGAGAGAGAAAAGACTCAAACAATGAAGACGAACCAGACGGTTTGCTAACCTGGTTAACTAGTTGTTTTTTTTCTAGGAAATCAGAGGACGACTCTACAAGTTGATGAAAAAACATTATTTAACCCTTCTTGTTCTGGAAAATATCAGATTAATGACTTAGAGGGCAAAGCAGCAGCAACGAAAAAACAGAATTTCAGTTGGACTTTAACTAAAATAAATAACGTCTCCATGCAGCAGCAGCAGCGATAAACTCACAAGAAAAAGGATTTTAAAGAGGATTTGAACCGCTCTCCGACCGGGATGCATCGACCACTCCACTGCATTCACTCTGATGAGTCGTCGTTTATGGCTTTGTGGTGAAGTTTGACAGGAAACTGAACAGAACCCGATGGATGCGTGGAGTCGGTGCGCTGCAAAGACGAGCTTCTTTAGACAAAGTGATTCCTCTCCAAGCAAAAAAAAACAAAACAAAACATGCAAATCTCACAACTTGTTGAACCCACGGACTAAATATTTGGTCAGTCTGATATTCTTCGCTCTCGTTGGTGCGTCAGTTCATCCTCTGTGTTTGTTCTTCTTAATTGAAGTCGGCCATTTACACCTCGTGACACTCTGTTTGTAACCTCCGACGTTTGAAACCTCATGAGTGTGTGTGGTGTCGGTACGGCTGTCTGTGTGAGGACCGGCTGGAGCTTCAGTGAGGAAAGTGAATCCGGTTTATCCGTGATGGGTTTAATGTTATGAGGGGGGAGAGAATGCAGCGTCCTCACAAAGACAGACGTACGGAGCTGTGTCGTGGATCGGACATATCTGGAAGACTGAGGTGACGTCTGAGGGGACGAACATATGAACACGTGAAGCACACGGTAAGCACACACCAACATAAATAACCTGAGAGCTATGGAGACCCTGGGAGCGGAGAGCAGCAGCACACACACACACACACACACACACACACACACACATTCGCACATTCACACACAAACAAGACTTTTTTTTGAATTCTGTATAAAAACGGATGCAACGGATTCGCGTGAAACAAACCAAAGAGGAAACCCGACGAGCAGTTCGATGTCGTAAGAGAATAAAAGAGTAGCTGAGGCCTGTTTTCAGCCCTGAAGGCCTCATTCATTAAAACAAAACAAACACACACATGCCACGTTTTGTGCTTATGACCAAAGCCAAACATGTAAATCTACGGATGTGACGGCGAAACGAGCAGGTCGCGATGAATTCCACTAATTAGAAGATACCAAACAAAAGAAAAGTAAGAAGAGGAAATCATAGCCTCTACAGCTACCCAAGAGGATGAAGGCTGTAATTTTTTGCTGTTTTATTTGTTAAGGAAAGAAAAAGAACGTTTTAATGAATGAGGCCCCTGGGAACCAGATCCAAGAACTATCGATATCTTTGAAACTCCTTCAGAAGTCTTCGCTAGAAAAATCTGTGATTCTAAATCAGTTTCTACACAAAGGAAGGGAAGCGGCGTCGTTTTCTCTTCAGGGCAGATTTCAACATTAGGTTTGATTATATTTCTAGAAACGTTCAGGACTATGATCGTTATTAGGGTCAAAATTTTAAGCTTTTGGATGTTTTTTTTTGTTTTTTATTATTATTAAATGCATTTTGTAAATATTCTGAATCGCTCAGGTCGTACTTCTACTCTTCTCTCGTCTTAAACTTCCTAAAATCAGACTTAAGATCATCCGATGAGTTCATCAAATTAAAAATCAAATCCACATTTTTTTTTTTTTTTTCCTCTCGGCCAGACCTCGAGACAGATGGGATAAAAGTGGATAAAACGAACAAAAGAACTCTACGTTTGTCTGTAAAACATTTTGGCATAACTTCGTTACCTTTCCGAGGAGTAATTAGACATAGTGTAGGATGTCTCGACTTACAGACAGACAGATAGATACAGTAGATAGGACGGACAGACAGGAAATACATACAGATACAGCTCATCTCATAGAAAAAACAAACATGGAACAGTATGAGCTACGTTTTGTCGCACTACCAGCAATCAGTAACAGCCTTCGAGTTAACGTGATGCGCGTCCCGTCTTTCTCTCTCGCGCGCGTTAACGCCGCCGAGGTCCAGCAGCACAAAAAAACAAAAAAAAAACTCCCGCAGTTCTCCGAAACGGCCACCGGGGGGAGGCGGCGGTGACTCCGTGTGTTCTCACAGAGACACAGAAGAGAGACAGAGAGAGAAGAAGAAGAAGAAGAAGAAGAAGAAGAAGAAAGATGTTCTCCTGCTCCAAATCAAATCTATGAGTGAGCCTGGGTCAATCCGTCGCTTTCCGTCCAAACACAGCTGCTCTGTTGACGGTGTTGGAGGCGGAGAGCAGGAGGGGGGCGTTCACTTCCAGTCTGCGGCCCCGCCTCCCGTCCGGAGTTCGCACGCTTCAATCCCGACCGATCCGGCGTCCCGTTCACTTCTTCTTGCTGGACTTCTCCGAGCGCTTTGCGTCCGACTTGCCGCCCCGATCCGACCTCTCCGACCGCTCGCCTCGCTCCCTCTCCTTCTCCTTCTCCCTCTCCTTCTCCTTCTCCTTTTCCTTCTCCTTCTCCTTATCCGCCCGCTCGATCCGCTCGGCCCGGTCCGAGCGCTCGCCGCCTCGGTCCGAGCGGTTGTCCGCCTTGCTGCCGTCGCGGCGCGTGCCCTCGTCGGTGGATGAGGTAGTTGGTTGGGGCTGACCCCATTTGGCAATCTCCTCGTGCTCCGAGATACTGGCGGTGATGTTGGTCACCCAGGCTTTGAGGTCGTCCTGCGATGGGAGAGAGAGGACGGAGACGAGGGTCACATTCATAACAGCTAAGTTTAAAACCACAGATTGGATATAAAATACAGACGTAGCAACCGTGACCTCACCTGCTGTTCAAAACCGAACCTCATAAAGCAAGCAGCGACGCTTTACCATTGATTTTTCTCTGAATCGGACCATAATTTATAAAATTAACATCATGCTGCCATAAAAAAACTCCTAAAACTAACAAATGAGACCATGAACTCATCAGGAATTCTTTCACAGAAACAACAAATCAAGTGAGAAACAGGCTCATTTTCTCATAGACGTCTATGCAACCATGAAGCGGAGGAGGCGCCCCCTGCTGGCTGTTGGCGAGAAACTGCAGGTTTAAGGCACCGTGACGCTACGGCCACGTTTTGTACATAACTTATGTTACAAACATGGAAATTGACTCACCTCATCTTTTGCATGGAACAAAAACTCGCTGCCGTCCTTCGTTCTGGAATCAGAGGAGATTAATTCAACTGGTTTTCACTCGCAGTTACATGTTACTTCAATAGAGGATGCACAAGAAAAACACAACAACTTTGAGTCAAGCTGAATCCTGCATCTTCCACGATGCAACTCAGTAGTTCATAGTCGCCAAGGCCAAACTATAAAACCACGAAGATGTCATCAGGGCTATTTTTTTCCCCCCAGACTTCTGCACTATTTTTACAGGTTGCTGCTACATTGACATCGAAGTGTACGAGGAGTTCAGATGCTGTCGTCGGTGTGACTAGACAATAAAAAGGGCAAACTGATGCTACATGCACAAAAATCCCACCGGTGCCTGTCTGTAGAGAATACAAAGGTAAACATAAGACTTTATTAACCCCAAAGGAACTGCTTGTGCCAGATATTGAAAAAACACAAAACGATAATAATACTGAAATAAAATGAATAAGCCAAAATAAGGCTAGAATAGAACGGCAAAAAAGTAATGCTGGGAATTACCGTAAATTCTGGACTATAAGCCGCTACTTTTTTCACACACTTTGACCGCTGCGGCTTAAACAATGACGCGGCTAATTATGGATTTTTTACAAATTTGCGTCCAGACGAAAGTGGCATTGAGAGCGACAACGAAAGAGAGACTGAGGAAGTGTGTGAGGAAGTAATTCTGAGGCTGTTCAACTCTGACACTGAAGACTTTAGTGGTTTTGGTGCAGGAGGAAGATGAAGATAGCGATCAGTGACTTTTCCTAGCAGGCTGCTGTAGTTTTTATTTTCTTAACCAGCCCTTACAGGCACTGCTCGGAAAAAAGCATTTACAGTACTTATTTAATTAAAACACCTACGGCTTATATATGTACAAAACTTGTTTCCTTTTTAAAGTTAGTGGGTGGGGCTTATATTCAGGTGCACTCCTAGTCCGGAATTTACGGTAACCTGACATACTGCGCCTGAAAAATGAGATATTACACGCGAAATAACTGTACTAAGCAGCTGCGTACTTGAGCGTGAAGACGTTCTTCTTCTTCTTGTAGCCGTTGGTGACGTCGCAGTGGCAGTGGGAGAGGTTGAGCAGCGGCTCGTTGTTGTAGGGCGTGGTGGTGTTCTTGGCGTCCTTGTAGAAACCCATCTCCCCTTTGTTCAGCACGCAGTACAGGTTGACCCATGACCTGCTGTGGTGTGGGAAGGCGGGGGAGGAAGGTGGAAGGTGGGGGAAGGTGGAGAGGGAAGAGGAGGAGGAGGAGGAAGGGGAAAGGTGGGGAAGTGGTGGTTGGAGGAGGAGGAGGAGGAGGAAGGGAAGGGGGAGACGGGAGGAGTCAGGAAGAGCTGCAGAGTCACTGTCGCTAAGCTAACACCTCACTCACCTGGCCAGAGCAGACAGGTAGGTGGGCGGGATGGACCAGCCCCAAGAAGGGAGGAGGAAACACACTGCTGAACAAACACAGACGGACGGACAGACGGACGGAGGAGGAGGTGGTGGTGGGAGGGGGGTGGAGGAGGGATGGAGGGATGTTTGCCTCAGTGTGTGCGAGGCGGCTCATACGTGACTTACCTTGGAGGAGACAAGAGGAGCAGCCAGCAGCAGCGAGGAAGAGGAGGGGAGAGAAGAGGCAGAGGAGTTTGGTTAAACGCCATTTTGGCCACGACGCCAGTCACAGTCATGCTTGTCGTCCCTCCGTGAAGCGTGTTCGCATGCACACGGCATTCCAGTTAACAGCTTACATCGAAACACACAGTGCTGAGCAAGTTTCAGGCGCTTCAGGTGGTCGTTTCCCTGAATGTTGTCTTTACGTTCTGCAGCGTTGCAAAGTCATGAAGAGCGAGGAGGCTCTGCAAACAGATGGTGTGACCTGAACTTCATCAGGTCAGGAAACACCCACAAATCCACAGAACAACAAGCGGTCCTCATCCAGAAGGACTGAAATCCCTCGATACATTAACACCATTCATGACGTGTTTTTTTCAAGCAACTTTCAGCACCTAAAACCTTTGCACAGCACTGTAGGTGTTGTTCAGAGCGAGGTATCCGTGTGCAGCTTAATATCCTGATATCCAAAACCTCTGAGCTAACAATGGAAGCAGAGCTCAGACTGGTGCATGTGATGAGGCGTCCACATGGCCAATGCTAGCATCATCCACTACTACAGCTAGAGGTAAGGAGAGATAAAGGGACCTTTAGGGGTAATTAGATGAAGAGAACGCAAATTAAACAAACGCCTGTACCAAGAATCTGCTTTTTAAATATGTTTTATGATGGTAATGCAAATAAAGATACATATGCACTGTATTACTTACACTGTAAATGAAAATAGTATTTTTAACTTTTTCATTTATTTATTTATTTTTTCCAGATTAAAAAAAAAATTACTGTTATTTTACAGTTTGTCCCTGTTTTGTTAAAATACAGATAACAACCGTGTCACGGAAAAAAATAAAAATAGTTGACACATTAAGTATAAATAAAAAAACAGGCAAGGTATAAATAACATCCACATGAAAAATGTTGTATTTTTATAAAAATATATTTTGTTCTTTTAGAAAGTTTGACTGTAAAATAATATTATTTTTACTGGATTTAAATTTAAAAAAAAAAACTGTATTAAAGTAAAAAATATCTTTCTTTTTATTGCACTGATATTTGCTGGTATTTCAAAGAAAAAGTATACATGATATGTAGTATATTAAAGATTTAAAAATGGGAGCTCATTTTATAAACAGTTATGTTGATTGACAACAGTGATTGGATTTTTTTCTTTTATAATGTGTGGATCACCTAAAAAAATAATGTACAAATATTTTCCATTATATTCCAAGTTAATTTTTTTTTTGTTGTTTTTAAAACAGTATTGCAATTTTTCTTTCATAGTATTTTTTCTGGCACCGATGCTACCAGATTTTTGCCTTTTTTTGTAATTATTATTATCATTTTTCTTTTTACAAGACTTGTTTTTCCAGTGTACACAACAATTCTGTCACGTGCAATGAACTACTTTGTTCAGGCACCATAACACTCACATTCTGACAAAATTATTTATATTTTTTTTAAGATAAAATATTCAGATTTTACATCCTTTAAAGGAGCAGATGATAATTTATCTCTGATTACGGAGAGAAAAACCTCAGCAACAGGTTCAAGCTTTTCAGAAAGTAAATGTTCATCAGCTGTGAGTCAAAAGTGCTGCAAAAATCACACGTAAACCAAGTGAGTAGCAGATGTTCACACCAGGACTGTAATTAAGTTTATTGATTTAACATAAAGTGCAGACGCCATTCACAGGCACCGGATCCTCACACATGGTCATCCTGAGCAATACCAGAATATTAATGTGCACATCCACTTACTGGGTGTCTCGTCGAGATGTAACAGAGACAGGTTGAATCTCAATCCTTCCTTACAGGCTCCTGTATCCTCTCAGCTCAGCATCAAGAGCATACAATAAGCCCAACCAGGAGCAGTTTGGAGATTCACACTTGTCCAGGTTTAAGCCATTCGGGATTATGCTTTACCTTGCCATGTACATAACAGGGCATGTACATACGACACACTCATCCACTGCCTCATTGGTGCGTGAGTGGGACTCATCCATAGCTGGAGGAGGAGGAGGAAGAGGAGGAGGAGGATGGGGGAGGGATGAGCTGTTAGCTGTGCGTGGTCAGCCCAGCCACCAGGGGGCAGTGCAGAGAGAGAGTCGCTGGTGTCTCTCTGGAGGAAGCAGGTAGGTTCATCTGTGGAGGTCAGGTAGTGTGTGTGTGTGTGTGTGTGTGTGTGTGTGTGTGTGTGTGTTAAAGTGACCAGCAGCTCCACCAACATTCACTCCACAGCATCATTCATCATCAGCCAGCCAGCCAGCCAGCCAGCCACTCCCGCCGTGTTTCACTCATCTGTGGGCTTCGTGTTAGATCAGGAGGCATCGTAAGCGTCATGCATGAGGCTTCTTAACATGCGGTGAGATTTCTGCAGGCCGCTGCCGTTCTAGTCCGTCTAACTCTGTCTGATCCTAGCAGTCGGTGACGACGTCCAGAAGCTGATGTTAGAAAACCCCCAGCGGGGCGTTTAGGTTCCTGCATGCTCACCTGTGCTGCCTAAAAACTCTGAACTACCAACACACAAGCTACCAGAGCTGCTCGATTAAGGAAAAACACTCACGATATGTTACGAAAGATTGGTATGACGGTGCAACCTGACTGTGTTTTACTGCTCACAGATCGAACTTGGCGCAACAGTTTGTGATGTATCGTGCAAAGATTTACGTATTTAGCAGGAAACAGATCAAATCCTCCTCATTCCACTTTGCAGAACTTTTTCTTATATGTCATCAAATAAGTAAAATATTTAATAAATCTTTCAAATATGCATCAACCTTGATGTTTCCTAGTGTCTGCGGGTCTCCTGAGAACATCTTCGCTGACTATGGCCTTGAACGGCCTACGAGGCGCCACGTGTCCGTCATGCATCTGCTCGACGTGTCAGCGGAGTGTGTTAGCGTAGCATGCTAAGGTCATGCCCTGTCCAATCAACAGTGACGTCGGAGGAGGCGGCGGTGTCGTGAGAAACTATTTGACGCTTCATGGATTTTTAAAAAACCCGAAGCACCAAACCGAAAACGTGGTCGTCTGATTCTCACGACACCGTCCTCCTCCTCCTCCTGTGGAGCTCCCGTCGTCGTCACGGTTCTCGTTAGGACCCTGAACACCCACCTATTGGTGCTCTTCTTCAGGCTCTCGATGTCCAGCTTGCGGAACAGGAAGCCCTCGTGGTGTGCTGTGTGCGTCGGCGGCTGGGGCACCGCTGGGCTGCTCTGGGCCGGAGCCGACCTGGACCTCCGCGTGGTCTCTCCGGGCTCTTTGGGTCGCGGCCGGCGTCGCGGTTTGGGTCGGTCCCGAGCTCGAGGCCGGTCGGGACGGGAAGACTTCTCTGGTAACCCGTTGGGCAGGCGGGGGACCTCGCCACGGGCCTGAGGGCGAGGAGGGGGACGGATGGAGGAGCGTTTAATGTCATCCGTGATCCGGACCGACTTATGGGTCATCCTGCCTCAATTCACCACAACGTCTGACCATCAGTCTCTGTTTTTATTTCTATTTTTATCATTCTGAGTTTTATCGTCTATTGTCGTCTAATTGTTGTTTTTTTTTTAAACTTTAACTATGTCATTGTTCATTTTTTTTTAAACCTTAATTCCCTTATTTATGTATTTATTTTACTTATTACCATTACTACTATTATTATCATCTTTATCCTCTATTTTTCTTCCACTTGTTTTTTCCCTCACATTTATTATTTTATCTGGTGTTTGCTCAATGCTCTTCCTGTGTTTCCTTCTTTTCTTTTTTTGCCCCGTCTGTAAAACACTTTGTGAACTCTGTTTTACAAAATCTACTATGTAAATAAACACAGTGATTATTACATATAGATTGAGCCGATCATGTGTCAAATCTGAGCTCACAGGGAACATTAGTTTTTGAGTTTATTTATTTATTTTTTCATAAAATTATTTGAAGTGCTATGATTTTCAGCCCAGTAACAACATGATACCACTCTTCCAGTTGGGACACTTACAATACCTGCTCAATGCACGTTTAAATAGTGGCCATAAATGCAGAAAACTTCATTTTAAACTATGCCTCTGACTGGCGCTAGTGTCTATATTTTTAAAGCTCCTATTGGTGCGACTCACTGAAAAAATAAATCAGCCTTGCAGTAAAAAGTAAAGGTTTTATGGTTGGTGGAATATCAAATCTGCACCATCATCTAACTGGTTTATAATATTCTATCAGAGCAGGGTTGAACCACTGAAGGCCACATGTACATATCAGGGAACCTGTAAACTTCCAGGACTCTCGCGACGTGATCTCTCAAGTTATGGTGCTTCAAACTTTGATCCACAGATTTAGACAACAACACTAAAACACCTTTTACACGTTTCACTAACGTACGTATGCAAAGAAAAAAATCTGATCAACATGAGATGGTCAGGTGTGAACGTTTTTAAAAATTTGGTGAATGGAGAAATGATCCTTAAGTACCAGTATTGTCCATTTTAACAGCTCCTGTTTAGACACTGCTGATATTTTGTTGTGCTGATAAAACCTCAACCAAAGAGCTGAAAGTGTAAAATCTGCAGAACCTCCAGACCTGTGCTGCTTCTCTTTCCTGCAGCTGCTCTACGATCTCTGCCAGCGTGGACCTCTTCTCTCTGTGGAAGAAACACCGATTAGAAGTCGACACTAAAAATATTCAGCTGTGATTTTTTCTTCTTTTTTTTTTTCTAATGTCACCTCGCTGCACTGAAACTCTCACCCTCCTCCGGAGCGTCTGTCCGAGTGCTCCTTCCCGGTGTCGTGCTCGCTGGACTCCTGCCTCTCCAGCCGGTGTCGGTCCCTCTCCCTCCGCCGGCCCTCGTGGCCCCCGTGGCTCACGTGGCTCCCGTGGCTCCCGTGGCTCCCCTGGCCTCCCTGACCTCCCTGGCCCCCCTGGCCCTCCTGTTCGCTGGACGTCTGCCTCTCCAGCGTCCGCCTCTCCCTCCTCTCGGCGTGTTCCCTCCACACCTCCTGAGGCAGCTCGTCCCTGCGAGCCTGGATCAGCTGCTCGCTGCTCAGCTGCCGTTCTATCCTGTGGTCCCGGTGGTGGCCGTGCGCCTGGACCTGGGGCTCGGCGTGGCCCAGCGGGTCGGTCCTGGATCCCCGGGGCCCCCTGGTGGGCTCACTGTGCAGACGCTCGCGGCCCCCCGGCTCCTGCAGCACCACCTCGGCCATCACCGCCACCTCTGCCCTCTCCGTCCCGATCTCCCCCATCATCATCTCTCGCTCCCTGCCCCTCTCCCTCTCCCTCGCCTTCTCCAGCCGGCTCGCCACCAGCAGCGGCGTCACGGCGTCATCCAGGTGTTTGATTTTAGGTTGCCGTAGATACGGGGACGACTTCACCTCCAGCTCCCTCGCCGCCTGCACCGGCTGCAGGTGGCTCATGGCCTTCGTCGCCTGCTCTCTGGCTGCGCTGGCGCTTTCTCGCACCTGGTTGGCTGAAACCAACATGGCCGCCGTGGCGACTGACGCGATGGAGGATGGAGCGGGCTGGCCCAGTCCCGCGGCCACGCCCACCACGCCGCCGCCGCTGCCGTGCCGGGCCTCCAGCGTGTGGCGGTAACTGGAGCCGTTCATCACGGGGGTGTAGTTGGCGACGGTGGAGCCGAGCCGCCGGACCACGGAGGACGGAGACGGCGTCGGGGTGGCGGGCGACGGGGAGGGAGGAGAGCTGGCTTCGTTCTGCTCGTAGATGGTCTGTCTCATGACGGGCGAGATCGGGAGGCGGGGGAGGGTGGCCGGGGTGGGGGAGGCATCTAGGGGGTCCAGGAAGACTTTGCGCCCCAGCAGAGGGGTCGGGGGCAGTTTGCTCTGCTCTGCTTTCAACTTCTCCACCTGCAGGAAGAAATCAGAACCAGCTTCAGAACACAGTGTTTGACACAAATCCATTATTTTTGTATATTTTATGTAGAAAAGTGGATCTGAAACTACAGATCATCGTAAGAAAGTTAAATACTTTCCATCAGTGATTTAAGAAAGTGAACATTTAATGTATTCTAGACTTAAAACACATCAAGTGAAACATTTAAGCCTTTTTTTTGTTGTAATTTTGATGATTATGGCGCATAGTGCCAAAATCCCATATTTTAATTAATTATGAGTTTGATTAAATACCTTTTCAAACAGTATAAATAACGTGTTTCTCTCAGTCTAGTTCAATCATAGAGACGACTGCTGAAGATCCCACCTCAGATGCTCTCGTATACTCAAACAATAAATCCAGCTGTTTGCCTTTAACATCATTTTTAGACCATGTCGTGTCTGTATTTGCACACTGATGCCGACGTTACCGTGGTGAGCCGTCGCAGCGAGCTGAACCTCTCCTCCCAGGTGGCGGCGGCTTTGCGGAAGGCTTCGTGTCGGCGAATCAGCTGCTCCACCTCGTCCACGCTGCCGCCGAGCTCGTTGCTGTTGATGAAGGGCTCCTGAGCGGTGAGCCAGGCCTCGGCCACCACCGCCTCCTGGGCGAACTGGTGGACCTCCAGCACTGAGGCAGCAGAAAGAAGACGAGCATTCATGAGGGGAAAAAAGGAAACTTCTCTGTTTCTATGCATACATGCCGTTTTTATATGCTTTCGTCCTGCGTGTGCACTCACGTTGCTGCAGGACTTCCCAGTGTTTGTCCCACTTCTCAGAAAGCTCGTGCTGCTTCGCCATCACCCTGTCCAGCTTCTCCTTGATCTGAGAATCACAACATTGCAGGTCCGGTTAGTTCTCGCTGATGAATCTGGAGTTTTATGTAAAAATTCTAGTTTTTGTTTTGTTTTTCTAAACTCTTGTTTTTATCAGAATCAGATGGGTTAGTCACAGTTTCCTGGTTCACATCAATATTTTTAACCAAGCAGACCAGGATTTGTATAAAATATCCGTGTATGAAAGTATATATATATATGTAAAAATAGATAAGTAAATAAATCATAATAATAAAAAGAAATACTCCTAATAATAGCAATAAGGAATTAAAAAAAGTACTTCAAAATAAATAAATAAATTCTGATGATAATAAAGAAAATACTACAAATGATAATAATAATAATAATAATAATAATAATAATAATAATAAGGAATAAAAATTAAAAGGTAAAAATTAAAAGTAATACAATAGGGGAAAGAAAGAAAGAAAGAAAGAAAGAAAGAAAGAAAGAGTGAGTATTTTAAAGGCAATTAATTTCTCCTCAAAAAGATTTTAAGACTGTATTGGAGTATTTTTTGTAAATCCAACAGTCTCTATGGGGGGTTCCGTTGAGCAGTTGTAGAGTAAAAGTGACCCATTTTCATTCACAGCGTTTTTATTGCAGTGCAGCGACGGTCAAAGTGATGATTAAAGTCTTTCCTCGTTCCCACCTCTTCAGCTGCAGGGTTCCTGGCAGCCAGCAGCGTCTTTCCCATCTCGATGCACTCCAGGATGCTCCGGCTGCGAGCCTCCACTTCGCTCTTCAGACTCTGGTGATAATTCATCAGCACCTCGACCGAGGACACGTCCCTGCAGGAGCCACGGAGCGCACGGTTAACACGCCTACTACCGATTACAACACAACACCGTACAACAGCTAAACAGTGCTTCACAACTAGACAAATAGAAATAAATGAATCATCCCAGTCTAATTCAACATGCTCATTAATAAAACCCGTGAACAGTAATGCAGATGTGCTGGAACGTCCCTCACAGAAACCGTCCATCACAAAGTGTGTTTTATGGAGTTGCTGATTTTGGCCACTATGTTCTGTTCAAACCGATGACCTGATTTATTTACAAGAAAAGTGTTTTTACTCTTATAAACCTAACACTGGAAACAGGGACGAGTAGCTGCTCACTGGAGCCCGACAGCTTGTTTGTTGGAATGATGCCGACGTCGATTTTATGGAGCAAAAAAAAATTCTGAAATCGATAATTTTGCTGATGTTCTCCATGGACATGTCAGGAAGGGAAAATGATGGGGCCACTGTTTATTAACTTTCCAGCAATGTACTTCACAATCTAGCCAACAGCTTCATGTGAAGACACCACTTGACTCCGCACCACCGTTTGCTCAGGGGTGATGCGTACTCTGCTGCATGTGCTGCAGTTTTCAAATCTTATATATATATTACTGATTGGCCAGCATCAACTGATAAAATCGACTAACGGATACATGAGTCGGGCTTTAAAATGAATAATAAATATTTCTGTTGAGACGATGAGCTTTTATTTTATGGATCCCTGTTTTTGCTCTTAGTTCTGATTTGCAGAATTAAATTAGAATTCTAACAAATCCCAGTTCGTCTTGTTTTCTTCGCTCTTATCAGCGGCTTTCTTCTTTTAACTTAACGTAATAAAACAAAACCTACTTCTTGATTTAAGTTTATTTCCTGGGATGCTGGTAATCGTACTGCATATCACACATGCTGTTTCACATTAACGTGGACTAGCGGACTCCGGGTACCTGGGCTTCTCTCCCGTCCCTATCTGGCAGATGATGGAGTCCATCCACATGATCTGATCTCGGACCATGCCGAAGAACCTCAGCTTGTCCGTCTCGGTGGTGATCTGCACTCGGCACTCCTCGCAGGACGTCAGCAGCTCTTTCCAGCACTGCATCACTTCGTGCTCGCGGCAGGCGATGGCTTCGGCCTTCTCGCCGGCGTACACCGTCCTCAGCTGGGCCGCGCTCTCCTGCAGCTGACGCACCTGACGGGGCGGGAGGGGCAGATTTTAGTTGGAGAAGCTACGCTGGAAAAGGAAGAAACGGAAATATTAAAAAATAAAAAATGGAAAGGGACGGTTTTTGTTCCGAATGACGCACAAAACGCAGCTGCCCTGACAGCTGTGTTTAGTCAGGGCCAAATGGTACAGGCTCTGTCACCAGAGTCGACACAGAGCAGCTGTGGTTTCTGCATCGTTCTCCAGCAAAATGTACCACAGCCTCCGTTCCCCAGGTGCATGACAGAGGCCGGATGAAGCAAAATTAAATGCAGAGTAAGACGGCAGCTCAGACCCAGACACATAAATAACCAAAGATTTTTTACTATCAATCTCATGTAATCAAATTAACACTAATTTAATTAAGTTCAGCGGCTTTTATTGGCATTAAGGGATGGACCAGCAGCGTGCCAGAAATTTTGTCCAAATAAATCAGGGATTTTAGGCGACGGTTCTGCTTTTAAGAGCTTGTAGCCGCTTCCAGTCAGAAAACAACATATGTAGTACAACTTAATATTTGCTAATATGATAATAATCACCTCTACCTCACGTCTTTATGAATGTTAAAGCTTAAGGAAGGATGAATCTACACGTAAAAGAGAGAATATCACTGGGTCAAGTCTGCCGTTGTCCTGTTGCTGCACCTGTGTGACGAGCAGCTGAATGTCCTGTTCGAAGCTGTGCAGGAGTCTCTGCAGGGTGCTGGTGTTGGCAGTGCTGCCCTGCCGAGCCCGAACCTCCGGCAGCCTCCGATGTTTGTCCTCAATCTGGGCCAAAACCTGAGCAAAGGAACACGAGGCAGCGCAGAGGCGTGACATGTTTGCAGTGGAAACGCCTGGATTTTTATGGAACATGGGTGTGGGTTTGTAGAAAAATGAACAGTTTAATAAATATCTTTCATGCACACATCAACCAAAATGTGTAACTTAAAGGTTCAGCTGCTATAAAATTATTCAACTCTCAGGAAGGGTTTGAAAATATGCTGTGGAGAATGTTTCTCTTTTACACAAGAACACCTTCTTGTCTAAGTTCGACAATGTTAAAATCCGGCTTGCATCAAAAAATGACCTTCTTCAGGGCCAGAACAGTAACTAGGCTGCTTATTTTCAAGGACGCTGATGCACAATCAGCACTTCATTTACATTTTGTGCAAATTTCTTACGCTGTCCTCCCCACAACGGTTACTGTAAACCACAGTGAAGAGTTTCCACCAGGAAACAGTTTAAATAAAAAAAAAGAGGATGCATTTTTGTGTGTCTATCTCACCTCTCTGCAGTCGGAGAAGAACTTGTGCAGCTGGTGCGAGGCGGCGAGCATCTGGGCGCGGGTCTCCATGAGCTCCAGCAGGTCGGCCCAGGCCTCGTTCACGCCGTCCTTCCACTCGGCGATGGTGGCCGCCTCCGAGTGGCCGTAGTCGATGAGCTCGTCCACCATCTGGTTGACCGCCGTCACCCGTTCCTGCCCCACGCTGCCCGTCTCCGACGCAAACTCTGTAAACTTCTCCTGCAGGACCTGGAGGTGGAGGTAAGAAGAAGACGAAGAAAAAAGAGGCACAACATTCAGAAATGTATTGTTACTCTTCATGGGTCATTCTACCTCAGTTCTCCAAATTTTAAAAAAGTTAATCTCATATTTGTCCATTTTGTTTCTGTGCATATAGATGTTATTCAGTAAAATGTGTGAAATTTGGGGTCAAAGCTTTTAAGTTATAAATTCTTAAGGATGGTGGAGTCATGTCATTTTGACTTTTGTGCCGTTTTCTTTGTTCGTCTGTGGATCAGTGTTTAAATTACTTGAGAAATAACGTAGCTAGAGTCCTGAAAGTTTGCAGGTTCACTGATGTGTCCATGTGGTCTTCAGTGGTTCAACCCTGCTCTGATAGAACAACACACACCAGCAACGTGATGGAGCACATTTGCACCGATATAAAAACCTTTATTTCGCACCCTGACAACAAATGGAGCTTTAAAAATGTATGGCACCACTTTTAACACTCAACACTTTTCATCAAACTATTTGAAGCACCATGAGCTGGAAAACCATTTATCTTTTAGCCCAGTAACAATATTATACAACTCCTCCAGGTGGGAGGCTATTGGAGTAGTTTCACCATCATACCTGCTCAATGCATGTTCAAATATTAGCCATGAATGCTAAAAAATTAGCATTTTAATGTATTTGTTCTCATAAAGCATGCCTCTAAAAACAAAAACACCATCTCAGGGTGGACAGTAAAGGTTTCATGGAGACAGAAACATGGAAATGTTTGACCAGATCTTCACCCTCACATAACTGGTTTGTGTTGTTCTATCAGAGCAGGGTTGCACCACTGAAGAGCACATGTGCATATCAATGAGTCAGCAAAATTTCAGGACTCTAGCTACGTTATTTCTCAAGTTGTGGTGCTTTAAACTTTGATCCACAGATTGGCGGCTCAAAAATCGTCATGACCTCGACTTGTTAAAGAGCTTTTATCTCAAAATCTAATGTTACCTGTGAGCCCAGATTTTTCCAAATGATCAACTCAACTGGTATTCAACACTTAAAAAAACAAAAATCAGTCACATTGAAGATGGTCATGACTCCCATACGTTTTTGATTAATATTCTAGCATATCGCAGCTACCAAACCTGCCGTAAACGAGTGACACTGTTTGAAACTGGTACACAACTTGACCGGTGTTATTTTAATTCCAGCAACACGAAACATCTCTTGAATCTATTATTCATCCGCCGGACGCCATCTGTCCACACACTCACGGTGACGTGCTCGAAGTCTTGACCCAGTTCGGGCGAGCTGGCCACCACCTCCCTCTGAGCGATCCACTGCTCCAGCTCGTCCACCTCCCGGTTGAGCTGGTAGAGCCAGTACTGCTGCTCCAGGCGGCTCTTCCTCTCCTCCACCAGGTCCTTCAGAGACACGTAGAGCCGGTCGATCTGGGACTGACGCTTGCTGATCTGCTCGCTGTGGAAGGCAGGGAGAGGAAAAAAAAGGAAAAAAGTGGGAGATCTGTTGCATGTGTTGGTGCTTTGTTTGAGACGACGATCTAAATGGTTTGACACTTCCTGAATAACCAACATGAGGCCTTGTGTGTCTAGAGGGCCAACTGAAAGAGCAGTTTCTCATAAATACAGTATTATATTTGGCATAAAAACACAAAAGAGTGGCTCTTACAGTTAAAACTCCAAACACAACCCGCAAACTGAACCAATAAACGATTGAAACGATTTCTGTCGACTGATGTTTGAAAGTAAAAGATTAGGTGCATTTCTGTCCTTCCGCTGTGACGACCGAACACGTCTGTCAGATTGTGTTTGTGCTCGTGTTTACATGCGCACCAGTCTGGATGCCCCATCTCCAGCAGCTGTCGGCACTGCTGCGACAGCAGGCCGATGGTCTCCGCGTAGTCCTCGATGGTCTGTTCCAGGACCAAGTGTTTCTTCAGCAGCTGCAGCGTGCTCGGCTCATCCTGGTGGGAGGAGGAAGCGGCGCACGAGGACGAGTTACACTTTAAAAATAGCGCTCAGACGCTAATTCTCAGTCATGCTTCTGTGTGGAAATCTGTGCAAAAGACTCGGATTGGGGTCCAACAAAATGAGATGATAGACTCCCTGATTATGAGCAATTTATTTGTTGTTTTTATTAAAAATGCCCGAACGGATTCACCTTCCCCTTCTCCTCGTTCATCATGTGCAGCTCCTGCTCGCTCAGCCAGGCCTCCACCTCGGCCGTGTCGAAGTAGTACTGCTGGGCCTGGTACATGGCGTCCAGGACCAGCTGCCTCCTCTCGGTCTCGGCCCAGAGCAGAGCCCACAGCTGGGCCAGCTGGTCGTGGCCGGCCCTGACGCAGTCGGCCTCCGGGCTGCGTATGGAAGCGATGATGGCCGCCCTCTCCAGGACGTCCTCGATTCGGCCCCGGTGGCCCTGCAGCTCCCGCTGGAGGGTCTGGAGGGAAGACGGAGCAGCGTTCAGACGTGGTGCAGAACAGAACGATGGTGAGAAGACTTCAGTCATGAATAAAGTTGAAGTTATTCCCATTTTCCTACCTGGTTCTTCTTCATGAGCTGCTGGACGGCCTGCAGAGTCGAGCCGTGCTCCTGAGACATGGCCATCGGGAGGCGTTCCTGCACCCACAACTACAACCACAGCAGCTCAGTCATTAACATGCAATCATAGCTCCATTCATAATTATCACACCATATGGATAGTGTACATTTTTATGTCTTCACTTTTCTACTTGTGTTTATATTTTTAGGACATATTTTTGTGCTCAAATTTCTAAGACTTTGAATGCTTTGATGAAAGTGATTTCCCAGCATTAATCAATTAAGTAAATCTGATTCCAGACAGTGAAAGCCTCATCTTCACCTCATGTTTCAGTTTAACAGACTAGATTTGAACCTGAGCTCTCGAATGCACATCGTAGCCTCAAAATAAAACAGAATAAAACTGAATCGTGGCGTTTTTTTGCAGCTCTAGCAGTGAAAACAGCTTCACACACACGGGAGATTTAAAGAGCGAGTGTGCTGCTCCGCTTCCCCTGTTTGGCAGAAACACGACGACTGCAGGATGAAACACCTGCGTGCCGCTCGTGGTTTTGCGTGGGAACGTTGCCACGGACTCAGAGTTCGTAACGCTGCAAATTAAAGCGCTTTCATTTAATTCCTTCAGCGGGTCGGAGGCTCGATCCACGTCGTGCTACGTCGTTTGGCGACAGATTGTGACTCAACAGACTTTTATTTAACAAGAAATCTACATGCAAGAGTGTTTTTCTGCAGAGAGTACATACATTTGTGGTGTTTTTTGCTTTTATTTGTACAGCACAGTAGAAATAGACGGAAATATGAGTTAAACCGTAAACGTCACAACCTTTCAACCATCAGGTCGACCTATAGAAAGATTCCACAACTTTCAAGACTTTAAATATACTTAAATAGCTGATCGTGTTAAAATCTAATTTAGCCGTAGATATGTCTAAAGGAGTCTGTCAAAGCTGCATCTAAACTCAGTGTCACTTCAAACAGTCAAACAACATCACGTCTTCAACTCACAATCTCGTCCTCCAGGTCTCGTCCGACCTGATGGACCTCCTTCGACGCCAGCAGGATGCGTCGCCTCTCCTTCAGCGGCTCGATCAGACGCACCATCCGGGCCTCCACGGCGGCCTGTCGCTCGGCCACCGTCTCCTTGACCTGCGTCTGCTGCGGGATGGAGGACGCCTGCACCTGGAGCTGCCCCACCTCCTTGTACCACTCCTCCATCTGGCTCTCCATGGTCTGAGGAGGAAACCATCCAATCAGGCGGGAGACAGGAAGCGAGGCGGGCGAGAGGAAGCGACGGTGCAACGGGTGGAGGAGGTATGAAATAATGATAAAAATGGTATGAGAGAGAGATGAAAAGAAATGCTGTTTGTTGATTTTTTGTTTTTTAAAGAGTTCTTGGATGTGTCTTGCAAAATTTGGATCCAAAATTATATATTTTCTTAACTTACCACAAGAATAAATAACAAATGTAGGATAAAAGTTAATGAAACATCTACTTGTATCAGCAAATAGTGTCTTCGTTCCAGAAAAGACGGACATGAAAGCACCTAAGAGGCTGAAAACAACCGGAAACAGCAAAACAGCAGTCGGCTGACAGACGTGAAGTGTAGTGAAGGTTACTGTACCCCTTGCCAGGATGGATGCTGGGTAGTGGAGTTGGGTTTTGGAGGGAGGATGATGAGGGAAAGCAGAGCTAATGGCGGCCTGTTAAAGGAAGCTGTAAGCGGCATGCTGTGGGAGAGGAGAGATGTCTGGTGAAATGGTGGAGCGATGAGAGGATGAATCTGTGCGTCAGCCCCAAAAAAACTAAATAAATCGGACTCCAGCAAAGCATCAAGGTTGGTGGGCAAATGAAGAGCTGCATCCCAACATTATATAAACACAGGAGCGCTTCACAGCATGTCTGCTACTATGAGATTAATGTTGGACCATCCGGAGCAGCTTCATCTCAGCTGAAAGTGACGAATCCAGTCCTGCCTTCGCACTTAAAATCAGCTTTTATCACAGTTTCTCACTGTTTGCTCAGGAGATGATTCTCTGTTCAAATGGCCCAGAAAAAAAAAAAAAAGAGGATCTTGACTCATTGGAGCCATCCGACAAACACCCACCTGCTCTGAAAAGACTAATAACAACGAAGGCCATCTGCTCTGGAGAGAGAAACTAGAAACTTCATGTGAGGAGACACACGGCTGCCTGCGTCCTCCGCCAGGTCTGACCACTGAGCACATGTGGTAAATAATAATATGAAATTAAACTAAATAAGTCAGGGCTGCACTGTGCAACCATTTAACCGCATTCAGTGACAGTTTTTGGAGGCTGTGCTGGTAAATTTCACAACTAGGAGCACCGGGGCGACTTGCAAATGGGCCTTGTTTGTTTTTTACCCAACACTGCAGCCTCCATTGCAGTAAAAGTTGTAGATTTTGCATCGTATATTGTATGTACTGCAAACTTTACATATGAAACACTTGCAAAACACAAACGCAGCATGAAGCAGTGACACCGACTGAACTGCAGCACCTTTACTTTTAAAGCACAACTTCAAATTGTCCCTCGTTCCTTAACATAAACATTGTTTTTCCTGGCCATTTATTCCAAAAGCATTCTTTATTTCTACAGTCGAGATGAAAATAACAATGTGCACGTCTTGCGTAAAGTTTCCGGCACACAGGACCAAGTTTAAAAAGTTATAAATAAATATGAAACCCAAACGCCTGGAGAAGTCGGTCGGAGCGCCGGGGGTCAAACTGGAAGCTCTTAGTGGATGTTTAGACTTTTTAAATTGTGCGTTCAACCTGAAAAGTACCTTCCTGCCCTCCACAAACGTCACCGCTCACCACCGAATAAAACACGAAGCGGTTATTTGGTTCAGTATTTAGATAAAGCAGAGTTCTGTGATGATTCACTGCCAGAGTGTAGCTTAAACTGAAAAGTAAAAGTATGAAAGCTGCTGATTTATTTGGCAAAAAAATAATAAAAATACTTAAAAAAACAAAATGAACTTGGGATGAAACTCGTAGCTGCTGATGGTGATTTTCCAGAAACCATCAAATCAAAGATGAACGCTGAGCAGACGAGACTTTCCTAAAAAGAAGCAGAAAAGCTTCGCAGGTGAGAAACGTCATTTTGGTTCATGTTTGGTTCGAACATTCACGAGATGAGCTCATCAGTGAATCACTTAAGAAGCGGTTCGACGTGCAAAAGAAAGAAAAAGCATAACTTCAATTTAGGTCAAAACCTAAACTAAAGCTAGAAAACAGCAAAAACTGCAAGAACATAATGTTCCAGGAGCTCATGGAGGAGATAAAGGACGATTTAAAGGATGCATCTTATTGATGTGACTGAGTTTGAACCATCACATATGTTCTAGTTTTTTTCTACACAACTTCCAGACATGAAAATGTTCATATTTAACTTAAACATTAATCATTGTTTTGGTAAAAATGTTTTTGCAATTTGGAGAAAAGAAAAAAAAAAGAAAATTGGCAGAAATGTGACACAAAAAGAGACCCAACACTTCACAGAAACAGAATCTCCCCCCGGCCCGGTTCTACGTACGTGCAGTTTCTTGAGCTGCTTGTTGACGGTGGTCAGGTCCTGCCCCTGGTCCACGTAGGCCAGTTGCCCCTCCAGCTGGCCCAGCCTCTGGTCCAGGCTCTCGTAGCTCTGCACCAGCAGGTCGGCCTTGTTGGCTTCGAAGAGCTGCCGGGCTTTGGCCTGAGTGGTGCTCTCCAGGTCCTGCCAGCACTCCCGGATCTCCTCCAGCTTCCTGCGGACCACCGGGCTGAGCTCCGGCTTCTCCTGGATCAGCTGCTGACCCTCCTGGGCCGGACCAGAGGACAACACAGAGGTGAGGAACAAGAAGGAACAAACATCCGACACTTAGCTCTGAACAATAAGTTTGTGCATCATGTGCAGCAACATTTACTGTTTTCATTTCTCAGGTGTCATATTTCAGTTTCATGTGCAGTATTTTGATTAAATGTTAAATATTTTACCACCATGTGCATTTCTGAGCAACATCCGGCACAAGACTTTCCTCTGGGATCAATTAAACCATTAACGTTTTGTCTCATCTCGTCACGTTCGGGGTATTTAGTCGAGAGAACGTGCAAATCTAACACTTCCTCAGGTAAATACTGGGGGAAAAAAATCCTCTTAAGCAACCAAATGTCACTTCATTATCACCCAGCTCCAATAAACACAACCCGCGAGGATAATAAGATCATTATGCAGGTTAATTAACGCTACGCAGCACCTGGAAAGTAGAAATCAAACGTTAGTGAGCACGTTAATTCAGAATAAAAAATCAGATTATTGCTGATTAAAGGGCAGAAGGATGAAGGTTTTATGAGGCTGTGACAAGCAGAAATTAATGTTAGTTTAAGAACAGCTGAGTTAAAGACGGATTATAACAAAACCCCTAAAATGCATCGTCTTGTTTTCACATTATCAGTAAATGTAGAGAGGATTTTGCTATAAATGAGCTTTATAATCGCCAAATATCTGCAGTTTTGGTCGACACAAATCAGAAAACTCACTTCAACTCTTACTACAAATGCTTACATCTGATTTTACAAACTAAACTATCATCAAACGAGACGCTGCGATGATTTCATCCATCGGTTCAATCACCAGAGAGTTACCTGGTAGCAGAAACATCACTACATTGGTAAACGTTTTCATTTTTTTAAATTAATATAATAAAAATCTGGTTATTTTGGGGGTTTTGGTACGACTCTGATGTGTATTTAACCAGAACTTGCTGGTATTTTATAAACCAAATAGGAAATAAATAGACATTTATACTATTTATGATCTGAAACGACTTCAGAACACAACAGAGGTTTTATTTCTCTGCTTCTTTACAAACATTCACTGGATGTTATGCTGGGAAAATGATGCTCAGACACTGAAGGACTGGGTTTATGTGTGTGTGTGTGTGTGTGTGTGTGTGTGTGTGTGAACAGATTAAACCTCATCGTATTAAAATGCCTCATAAATTACCTCACACACTCTCCCCTCCCCTCCCCCTCCGTGCTGCTCTGCTTTTCATATTTCTGCCCCCTTTTGTACCTCAACACACTCTGAGCCCCCATTAGACACACACACACACACACACACACCCTTATGTTCACCTGCTCCGTCTCTCTCCTCCCCCACACTATCGTCCTCCCCCATCCCATTGATATTCTCATTGTGCAGCTCGTATTTGTGTGTGTTTGTGTTCAGGACAGAAAAAATAGCCACAAGAAAACAACACAAAGAAAAATAAAGAAGAAGCAAAACAAGCAAAGGAAGGCGTTAAAACCTGCAAAAAAAAGACAGTTTGGGGAAATGAAACTTGAAACCCAACCTGACCGACGTGTACTTAATGATTTAAAGTATTATTAGTTCAGATTCTGAGGGTTTCCTGGTGAATTAAAGCGACAACGAGGCTGCAACCAGAAGTAGATGTGGAAAAAAAGTCTTTTAAATCTCTTCTGAAAACACACTCTGACCAGAGAGTCTCTCTGGATTTTACATGAGTTTTCATTTTATTTACATGTCCTCTATTTAATTATTTGTTATATATTTTATCTTTACATTATAAAAATAAATTTAAAAAATAAATAAATAAAAATGAAAAAAAATATTACATTTTTTTTAAAAATTAAAAATGAAAAAAAAAATTATTATTATTATTGAAATAATTTTATTTATTTGTCTTTATATTTCTATTTTTATCAGCTTTTTCTTTTATGGATTTATTTTTGATTAATATTGCCACATTATTTATTTTTTTATTCTATTTATTCTTCTTTTATTTCCACTTTTATTTATTTTTAAAATTATTTTATTGATTTATTTTTGTAATTTGGCGCTCTCACGCTGCATTAGTTTTTATATAAATCTGTTTAGTAAAGATGTGAAGCTCTGTGCTTTGAAAAGCGACGTACAGATCAAATTTATCATTTCTATTATCATTATTTTAATTATTATTCTAAAAAAGACCTGCAAGAATATCACTTCTTGCAGCGGTTCATCCCCAAAAAACAAAACTTTTATTAATATTTCAGCACAATTACTCAAACAAAGGCTTTTAATGTTACGGTCGAGCTTTTGAAACGTGTGTTTAACATAAAAAAACAACAAAAAACTGCAGAAACAATCCAGTAAATGTTAATTAATGTTATTAATGTTGAGATTAAAGAATTAAAGTTCCAGCAACAAACTCACACGCTGATATTAAGCAGCTAACGGATGCAAACAGGCTCAAAACAAAATGACAAATTCTGTTTTAAGTTTTGCAGGTTTTACTCATGAACAAAAGCAGGATTTTGTCCTGATGACGGCACGCGTTGACCTCGACGGAGATTCTAATGTGTGCACCAGATTTTACTGCAATAAATCCTGAAGTTTTTGAGAAATCTCATTTTTTAAGGTAGCATTAGAGGAGGAGTCGTTGTGTTCTTCCTCTCAGAATCATGCATGACCATTTTTTTGCAGATGTGTGAATGTTTAACAGGATCAGTGACGTTCTGATCCGCTGGTGATGCAGGAAGGGAACCACCAGCAGACTGAAGCCTTTTCAAACTGTGCAGCAGAACTTTTACTGACAATAGATGCTAAACGTTTACGCTGCTGTCCTGTGAGGCCGCTATCGGACCCGTTTTCCTGCCAACGACTACATTTTCCAACATTTGGCGCCTGGCAGGAGGCGACTCCATCCTCTGCCAGGACGCTTCACCGGGACAGAGCGGGTGAGTCACCGTCCGCAGAGGACGACATCCCGCCGCCCGACCCGCTCAGGTTATCGCAAAAAACAATCTACAGACGCCTCATGACGGGAAGCGACGCGATTAGGAAGGTTTCCGGTCCGAACGGCAGAACCAGGAGCACCGAGAAGTAAATGAGACAATAACAGGATTAAATGACAGAAAGGCATCTATACTGTATAACGCTCAATGTGAGGTCACGTATTTCAAAATAAAATGTGTAATAGATTCAATAAACAATCCAACCGGTCACTTTCTACCGTGTAGATATACGTATATCATATATACAATATTATTATTTTCTTTATTTTTTCTCCTTTTGCACTGTTTGAACATTTGATTTATTTATATTTGCTTATTTTTTTTGATCCCTTTCTCTCTCTCTCTCTATATATATATATACTCATAAATTATTTATTTCTGGTGTGTTTTATTCTTTATTCTTATTCATCTTTTGGATATTGTTTCATATGGAACAGGTGCCCAAAGCATTTCCCTGCGTGTTATACCGTTTATAACTGTGTTTGTGACCAATAAAGGCCTTGAATCCTTGAATAAAAATCTGTATTTCCTACATTTATGAGTCTTTATTTTGCAAAACAAGGCATTTTATTTCTTTTTACAAATTAATGTTGAAGAAAATGTCCCCCAGTATATTATTTTGCTTTTTAGTGCCTAGAAAACACTGCATACTCCTAAGAAAACTACATATTTGGTGCTATATACGGTGTATTTTAGAGTATAGGAAGTGCTGTAATTGGTATTATTTTGAAAATACAACATTTTGCAATATCTGCACAGGATGCATGATCAAATATCTGCTTTTCATGCATGGAAAATATGTGTTAAATGCAAAAAAAAGACATGATTTCTGTCATATTCCTGCCACTAAATGCCACCGTTACAGGAGGATTCTTGTGCTGCCTGTTTCCTCCACATCCACAGAAGCTGCATCGTCTCCACGCTGACACACAACCCGAGTGGAATCACAAGCGGAGCCGCTACGCCTCCGTAGCGCCGTGGCTTCCAGCGTTACGTCAGCGTTCATTCTAGTGTTTCTGCCGCTGAGTGGGAGGTTTTTTTTCTTTTCTGCGTGGGCCTCGGAGCGGCTTCAGCCCACCGGCTCAGAGCTGCTACTCACAGACACTCCAACAGAACCGAGATCCTGCAGAACCGCTCCGGCTTCTCCTCATGAAGCCAAACCGCCGCATTCACACGCACACGGGTTTAATTAGAAGAGAACGAGCTTACAGAAAGTCATCGGAGTTGCAAATTAAAGGGTCAAATTAAAAGATCCGATCAGGTTGCATTGTGGGAATTAAAGGATCGAGTGTTTCTGAGGATCTGTTTCTTTGTTGCATTGATTTTGACCAGTGATTTATTTAGTCTGTCTCTTTAAGTCACCTAAAATAATGAAAATATTAAAATAAAAATGAGTAAACTACAAATTTAAAGCGGTAAAAGTGATGCTCACACATTTTATCTGCTGATGGATGAGTCACCTGCCTCATGAGCACAATATTTTCATACAGTTTCAACTAAAAACTGGCAAAAATCGCACAAAAAATGTATTAATTTACTCTTTAATTCTAAAAAACAACCCAAAAATCTACATAAAATATCTGAAAATGTACAAATTGTAATTAGTTTGCTCTATTTTACTGCTAATTTAAGATGGTTTTACATTTTATTTACCAGTTTATCTGTGCCACTCCTGATTTCCAGCATTTCTTTACGGGTTAATTTTTACAGCGAACACAAAAAGAGAGTCCTGGGCTTCTTGAAGGCTGAATACACAAGTTATCTGCTGAAAAACCACAATATCGTCATTTATTCCCGACTTGTAACGAGTAAAATCACAAAAATAAATTCTTCATTTACACGTGAACACATCAAAAAAAAAATTTAAAAGTCTGTATTTTTGCAAATGGTAATTTGTTGTTTTACACTGTTTGACTGTAAAATTAGTTTTTTTTGCATTTAAATTAGCCAAAATTATCATTATATGACAGATATTTACCATTATTTGAAAAAATTATAATTTTTAAAGACAGAAAATGGTAA